CATGTATTATGCAATTAACTAATCAATGATCGGTACTCTGTACTCTGTTGTCATAAACATCGATCAAAGACAACAACAGAGAAAAACAACATCCACCTGTAGTGGCCATATTGGCCAACCGGAAAATGAATTTTCATTCCATGTCAAAAAAAATGTCTAAATAATTCTGGTTATTCTGGATAGCATACTTTTTCAGTGTGTTGGTTCGTGTGTGTGTGTGTGTGTGAAGTTGCATTAATGGTTTTTTTTTCTACTTGAAATTCTCTAAAAAATCGATTTAAAACGATTCTACCATTTTTTGAATAAAGTGAAGGATTTTTTTTCTTCATTCTCATAAATGTCAAAAGAGGAATAATAAAAAATAAAAATACCTTTTCTATATTCTGGACATGAAATTCTTATTTTTTTACGGAAGAAGAAAGAAAGAAAAATGTTCGATATTCTTGTTGTTGTTGTTGTTGTTATTATATATGGCAAACACTTTGTTGTTGGAATGTTTGAAAATATTAGTTTTTCAAATGTTCAATGAATTTACACAAACAAACACACGATTTATGCAAAAAATTCATATTCATTCAAAATTCAAATGCAAAAACATGCACATGAACACACAGGGAACGAAAAAAACAACAACAACAACAAACGATGCCAACAACAAACACAAAACACACGTTGAAACGCATCAAAGAAGATGATATTTTTTTTTACATTTGAAAAAATTATCGTTATTATTTTGTCGATGCTAAGAATCGTTGATGATGATGATGATGATGTTTGTTGGTTGGATGATAATTATATATATTATTTATAGTGATCAAAACAAAAAAAAAAATGTAGAAAAAAAATCATAAAAAAGAAGCTCGTCATCATTGTGATTATCACTGTTTTTCACTATTTTTCACTGTATGTGAGAATCACAATCCATAGGAGAATTCATATATAACACACGACGAAATGTTGATCTTTGATGATGACGATGATGATGATGATCAAGATTTGTTCAAAAACAACAAGGGAAATATCCCTTTTTGTGTGTGTGTGCGTGTGGCATGTGTGGTGTATAACACCTGGATAAAATGCGGAAATATTCGCTTTTATCTTTGAACCCGGGAAAAACGACAAACACACAAAAACAATCAGATAATAAACAACAGTTTTCAAACAAACAATTTTCAAACGAAAAAAAACTGAAAAATTTTCCATACAACAGACAAAAAAAAAGTCATCATCAAATTATTACCGGTATAAATGGAAACAGAGAGAGAGAGAGAGAGAGATAATGACGATGAAAAAAAAAAAAATTCCGGACACTATGATACACACACACACACACAAACACAAACAGAACACTGAATATAAAAAAAATTTTTTTGCGCGTTTTACAATTTCATTCAATGTTCTTTTATGTCTGAGAATGTTCTGTGTCTATATGGCCATCGTTTTTTTTTCATTCATTCAATTCTGTAGCTGTGTGTGTTTTTTTTTCATTTTGGCTTTTCAGCTTGTGTATGTGTGTGTGTGGAATAAAAATGTGAACAGAAATTTCGGCGCGATTTTCATCAAAAAGAAAAAACACTACCACCACACATACATACATATCATATCATTTTATCCATCCACAAAGTATATAATATACAGTTGCGTAGTTTGAATCCATTGATTTTTTTTTTATTTTTTTCTGATATAAATGGATGTGGTATGCTGCTGCTGCTGCTGCTTCTATATTCCATGACATATATACACAGGGATATACAACTGTATACAGCAGTCAAAGTTCTTGATGTTGATGTTGATGTTGAAACAAAACAACCAGAAAAAAAATCAAATTCAAAATCAAATGAAAGCAAGAATCGTTGTAGTAGTAATAATGGTGGTGGTGGTGGTGGTGGTGGTGGTAGTAGTAAAAGCATAATGAAATGAAAGAATTTTTTTTTTGTCTTTCAAAGAATTCTTCTATTTTCCCTAGTACAATTTTTCAAATATAATTTGTCAGCGTTTGCCAAATATACAAATACCAATTATATAACCAACTAATTTTTATTCTATTTGTATATATATAATCAAAAATAGGAAGGAAATGCAACCAGCATCCACCAGTAGTGAAACCGGTAGTGAATAGTGTGTTTAAAAACAGTTGTGTGTTTGGTTCATTTTTCTTGTTGGTTTAGAAACGCTGATATTTTTAGGAATCTTGAACTTTTTTTTTTTTTTGTTCCTTACTTCTAAATGTATTAGGAAGTGCTATTTTGGTGGTAGTGTGTGTGTGTGTGTGTGTGTTTATTATGCCGGAAATTTTCATTTATAAATTTTGTATGAAACAAACACTCAATACACACACACACACACACAAAACCCATTGGGAAACACTGGAGTTTTCTTATTGAAAAAATTTCATTTTTTACATCATCATCAATGACGAAGATGATCATGATGATGATGATGTGAAATAAAAGGTAGAGGTAGAGACCTGTAATTCTAAACGATGATCGTGATGATGATGATGATGATGATGATGGAAAAAGTGAAAAATTACCAGAATTTAGAATTCGACAACAACAAAAACAACAACAACGATGAACAAAAAAAAAAATCGATTCCTATAAAAAAAACACCATGATGATGATGATGATGATGATGACAGAATTAGGTGATGTATGTGTTTGTGCGTTTTTTTACCAAATTTCATCATTCACTTTATAGTTCGTTAGTCAGTTTGTTTGTTTGTGTATTTGTCATCTACTTCATCAAAGACATAAACACACACACACGCACAAAATATTACGGTAAATAAAAAAAAAAATCAAAATAAATACCATGCTGTGTTATGTGGTTTTTTTTCAGAGATTTGGAAAAATTTTTTTTGTTTTTGTGCATGTGTGCTGAATATGATGAATATATAAACACAAAGGTAAACATAGAAAGACAAAGTTTTAACCTACAAAAAAAGGTAAAAATCAACAGAAAAAAAATTAACTAGAAAAAAAATCACCGACGAAGATTGATAAAATTTCAATTTTTTCATTTCATTTTTGAATCAAGATAATGGACAATGTCCATGCTGTTGTTGTTGTTGTTGTTGTTCGAAATCATAATAATCATCATCATCATGAATTCTATGGAAAGAGAAAAAAAAATAGATCCAAGTTAATTTCAAAATAACAACAACAACAACAACAAATTTCAAAGCCATTCTTACACATTGTAATTCTTCTCTTTCACCATCAATCAAAAGATTATAATTCTAAAAAAATAAAAATCAGAAATTGAAATAAAAAAAACAACAACAACAAAAAAAAAGAGAAAAACAAGTGCAGTTCATAGTAAATACCGAAAATAGCATCATTCCACAAATGTGGGTCATATCATAAATCACCAATGGAATGATAATGATGATGATGATGATGGACAATAATAATAATAATTGATTACCGTTAGAATAAATTATCATCATCATCATCGTCGTATACGGTCATGTCTTTTCTCTCTCTCTCTCATTCCATTTGGCTTGTTTGAAAATGTTGAAATACCAAAGAGCCAAAAAAAAACCAGTGTTGTTTACTATAGTGGTGTTAATCATCATGGTCGTTGCGTTACAGCATGTCGATGGTTTCATCATCCATTCATTCAGTTTTCAAATATCCATCATCATCATCATCATCATCATTGTTGATCTTGACCTTCATAATCGTCTATCTTTTTTACATATGCTTCCTGACTTTGATACATTCATCACAATCGATAGATATTTTTTTCTCTTTTCAAATATCGATCAAAATCATCAATGATAATAATCAATTTTACTTTTGTATGATCAATTTCCAATTGATCTTGATCTTGATCCATTCATTGATAGATTGACCAATTGATTATTGAACAAAAAAATATTTTGATCAAAATGTTGTTTCCATTATCATACAATTATTATCGTCATCGACTTCAATGTCACCATTATAATAATTATGATTATTACATAATATCATCAATGATTTTATGTTCCATTTCTTTGATACAATTTTTCAAAAATATTAATTTGAAATTACCACGTTATTTTTCAATCAAATCATTATTTCATCATCATCGTCATTATAATTATTATCACCATATTTGGATATTTTCATTCAATTTATTATTGGTTTTGTGTTTGGAACAACAACAACAACCACAACAACAATCGATTATCGATAATCATAATCATCATAATCATCATCATCATTATTATTATAATCCATTAATAAGCCATTTACGTTCATTGAATTTTGGCCTAAATCATCATCATCATCATCATCCATTTACATCTTCATTATCAGCATTATATTACATCATAAACAATAATTTTGCACGTCAACAATCATCATCATCAGCTGTTCATAATAATAATAATAATAATAATCATCATCATCATCATCATCATTGATCAATCAATCAGATATTAAATTTTTGATTAAAAAATCATTAGATCATCTTTTATTGAATGATATTTCAATAGATTTATTCGTAAAACCATTTTCGACATTAAATTCTTCATTTATTGATTATTTATTAAATGATAAAATCAAATTTTCACGAAAATTACAGCTTTTGCTCACCATTTTAACCCAATCGAATACTAACAACACTAATGGAACGTTTAGTGATCGTCATTTTGTTGGTCATCATCATTATGATTATAATGAAAAAAATGTGGCCGCTGTACTACGAAAATCATTGACATCGATAAGGAAAAAGAATAATACCATCACGGCGACAACGACATCACAATCACCGATAATTGGTCGTTGTTTTGAACCATATGGCTGTTTTCGTATTACCGAACCATTTCGTACCATTTATAGGCCAATCAATCTGATACCTGAACCACCAAGTGCAATTAAAATTGCTTTTTATCTACGTACACGTACGAATCCTACATTGGCTGAACGTTTACCATATAGTGAAACGAATGAATTTTTTATTTCAAAATATTTTCAACCAGAATCCGATTTAAAGATAATCGTTCATGGATATTTGGAGAATAGTGATGAATATTGGGTTAATGTAGTGATCGAATCTATAAATTATATATATAATCAAAATATAAATGAAATTCTTAATTCGTTTTCGTTAATTTTTTTTTTGTTTCTATAGGAAATGAGTTTGGCATTATTGAATCGAGATGATGTTAATGTTATTTGTGTTGATTGGATGTTGGGAGCATCACCACCATATAGTCAAGCGGTTGCAAATACTCGATTAGTTGGTGCAATGATTGCTCATCTTATTAAACTTATTCAGGTACAGCATTCCAAAATGGAATTAATTCAAGTTCCAAAGTTTTTTTTTTGCTTCTTTTTTCCCTTTTTTACAATCAAAATTGTGTACATACATAGAAAAGTTATCCAAATCAATTTAGTAGCCACAAAATTCATATTATAGGACATAGTCTTGGTGCTCATGTGGCCGGTTATATTGGTGAAATTATTACAGATTTAGGTCATATTACAGGTATGTTTTATACAAATGTTTTCAATCAAAGAAAATCAATCTATCTCTCTCTCTCTCTTTATTTATTCACATACACCATAGGTCTTGATCCAGCTGAACCATATTTTCAATATACTGATCCAGCTGTTAGACTTGATAGAAATGATGCAAAATTTGTTGATGTTATACATTCAGATGTGGCTAGTATTATGTCCGGTGGTTTCGGTATGAGTCAATCATGTGGTCATGTTGATTTCTTTTTAAATGGAGGCGTAAATCAGCCTGGTTGTAAAAAAAATGTTTCCATAAAGAATGTTGTCGATTATATAAGTAAAGAGAAAAACATCTTTGATGGTATATTATTGTTGTTTTTTTCCATTCAATTTTTTACTAAATTTTCATGCCCATCATTATCATTATCATTATCATCATCATCATAATTTAGGCATACGTCGATTTATTGGCTGTAATCACGCTCGTTCATTTTTAATATATATTGAAGCCATTAATTCTGAATGTAATTATCATATATCAATTTTTCATTATAAAAAAAACAACAACAACAACAACAACAACAAACATTTGGATTGATCCATTTATAGATTTGGCCATTTTTTCTTTAATTTTTTTTTTTATTTTCAATATCAGGTCCATTTATGGGTTTTCCATGTCAAAATTATGATGAATTTATTAATGGACAATGTTCATCAATGATTGGCGATCATCCATATTATCGTTATTGTTTTCAAGTACCACGTAAATCATCAATGATGATGACAATGAATCAAACAATATGTCCTATTAGGCTTGGTCCAAATAGTATTGTTGATTATAAAGCCAATATTGAATCGTTCAATAATAATGACGACGATGATGATGATGATAATGATGAAAGAAACAACAAAAATTTTAACATGTCAAAAATTGTTTATTATTTTATGCAGACAAATGATAAACAACCATTCTGTCATTATCATTATAATATAAAATTAATCTATCAATTACAAAAGAATAATCATCGATTTAATCGACAACAACAACAACAACAACAACAACAACAACAACAATTTCGTGGACCATGGCGTACATTGTTAGATTGGCCATTTAATAGTAAAATAAATTTAGCCATCATTGGTACACGTAATCGTATCATGGCCGAATTTTTTATTAAACAAGAACACTTCAAAGTGATAAAAAGTTCAACAACAACAACAACAACAACAACAACAATGACAACAACAAACCCCCCGTTCGTTGTTATGATAAATAAAAAGTTTCATCATCATCATCATCATCATGATGGACTAAAATCATCATTGGCTGAATTCAATGTACTCATAAGTGGTGTTGATTTGGGAAAATTATTAAGAATCGAAATTGATTGGCGTAGTAGTAGTAGTAGTAGTAGTAGCAGCAGCAGCAGTAGTAGTAGTAGTACAACTACTACTACTAGTCAAATTCAACGATCATTGGCAATGATGCAGATAAAAACTTTGAAAAAATTAATTTCACAGTTATCTAATTCTGAAACAATCAATACAATACCATTGTTATCAAGTTTTCTAAATGAATTACAACGGATGTCGTTGAATGCCAATCAAACAACTCAAATTTTGTTACAACAACAGCAACAAACATTCAATAAATATCGATCAAATTTAGCTGGAATCGATATGATGATTTCAAGTAAAACTTTTGATCATAATCAACAACAACAACAACAACAGCAACAGCAACAACAACAAAATGAATTGACATCATCATCGTCATCATTTCTATCATCAAAAATAACATTGCCAACGGCTACAATAACAACAGCGGCAACTAAAAAAACGAAAACAAAACAAGAATATTTTATTAATCAACCATCATCAATATTACGTGCAATAATAATCAAAAAATTAGAAACAAATGAACAGACTATATTCTGTACAAATGAAAAAGTGATGAAAGAAATTTTTATTCATCAACAAAAATCATCATCATCATCATCAATACTTAAAACATTAACATTGATGGCCACAAAACATTTATCAATGAATTGGTCAATCACTGATCATAATCATCAACAACAACAACAACAACAAACGGAACATGAGCCATTCATTGGGATCGATTCAATTGTATATGATTATTGTAATTCATATTGGCAAACATTATGATCATCATTTTGTTTTTCATTTATTCCTGTTATTATCATTTTTTTTTTGTTGTTGTTGTTGTTGTTGTTCAGATCCTATTTATATATATATCATTTTGTTAATTTCATTTAACGAAAAAAAAAAAAAAAAACACACATTAAGATTAATCGTATCATGTCTGAATTTTTGATTTTTTTTCTGCTTTGATAATGATGATGATGATGATGATGATTGAAATATTTTGTCGAATAAATTTATAGTTTTTAGGGCAAATCTAATCTTTGGTGTTTTTTTTTATTTCATCAACTTTGATTTTTCATATATATCGCAATAGCAGCAGCAGCAGCAAATCATTGTGGATTATAAAAGTCTTGGCAATAACACCAAGTTGGTCACAAAATGTCTACAATTTTTGATTCAATTCTTGTCTATTTACTATTATTATTGTTGTTGTTGATGATGATGAATAATAATTGTCCAAGACAGCCATTTTTTGTATCATCAATGGAAACGTCCACATTATCATTAGCCACACAGCAACAACAACAATCAAGTAAATATATATCGATTAAATTATAAATTCATCATCAATTTTATATGAAATTCTTAGCCCTTAATAGAACTGTACAGCTTAAAAATGGTCATTATATTCCTGTTGTTGGTTTAGGCACATCAAGGATTGCAACAACATCTGAACAAATAATACAAGCCATAAAAAATGCCATCAATGTTGGTTATCGTCATATTGATACGGCCGATTTGTAAGTTTTGAACTTTTTCCCAGTGTCGTCTCACTCAATTCATTCATTCATTTTTTTTTCACTACTTTTTTGTTCCTGGAAAAAAAACTTCATATACACATCAGCTATCAAAATGAAAAAGATATTGGACAAGCATTATATGAACTTATACAAGATGGAAAAATTACTAGAGAAGAATTATTCATTACAACAAAAGTATGGAGTAATCATCATACAAAAGAATTGGCAATCAAATCGGTTCGCCAATCATTAAAAAATCTTCGTATTGATTATCTTGATTTAGTGCTTATACATTGGCCAATGTCATTTCAATCTGGTGATGAATTTGTACCAAAATTCACCAATAACAATACAATAATTGGTAGTGATTTGAGTAAAGAAAATTTTGAATTAGCATATCAAGGTTTAGAAGATGCATGTGATCAGAATCTAACCCGTTCAATTGGTGTATCTAATTTCAATATAAAACAATTGGATAAACTTTTATCAACAACAACAACAACAACAACAACAAATAGACGACGACGATATGAACCAGTAGTGAATCAAGTTGAATGTCATCCACATTTGAATCAAGAAAAATTACTTGAATATTGTCAAAATAAACACATACATTTGGTTGCATATTCACCATTACGTCGTGCTAATGTAGAATTATTTGATGAACCAAAATTAAAACAAATTGCTTTGGAACATAATCGAACAATTGCACAGATCATTTTACGTTGGCAATTACAAAGGGGTATTGTTATTATACCACGTACGAATAAAAAACATCGTATGATAGAAAATATTTCATTATTTGATTTTCAACTAAATCAAACAGAAATGTTGGCCATTATGTCATTGGATAAAAGCAACAATAATGGTGGCAGAGAAATTACATTTGAATCAGCTTCACATTTACCAGAATTTCCATTTGTTATACAATAATAACAACAACAACAACAACAATTAAATCATTTGCTCTTTAGTGTGTTGTACTATACCACCATTAATGGTAGTTTAGTTAATGGCCTCAAACGAAAAAAAAGAGAATTCCACCATAATATAGCTTAATGAATCATCATTAATTTAAATGATGATCATCATCGGGTTGGCTCCAAATTTTGTCAGAAAAAAAAAAATAAAAAAATAAATTTCATTCACAACAAACAGACATCAATCCATTTGTGAATTTTATTTTTCTAGCCCCCTCTATTATTTTTTATTTTTTTATGCAATAATCCATAGTAGTAGTAGTAGTAGTAGTAAAAAGAAACCATGTCAAGGTTCTAGTTTTGTTTGTTTGTTTGTTTGTTTGTTGAATCAATCTATCTATTATGTAAAAAAAAAAAAAAATAAAATAGAAACTGATAAATTGATGAATAATAATAAAATGGAAAAAAAACGAAGGAAAAACCGACCACCAGCACGTATTTGCATTGAATTTTCCTCTTTGACAAACAACAAACTACAACAACAACAACGGCAACGACGACGACGACAACGAAGACGACGACAAACACAAAAGTCATTATTTAATAGAAAGAGAAATTTAGATTAGATTAGATGAATAAATGAATGAAAAAAATTTTTTCAAAGAGAAAAACGAAAAAATTGAACTTTGGATACAGATTTTTTTCATATATTGGACAAATGATTTGAAATGTTCAAGTTTTATACATACCACATTTGTAATGATAATGCGAATATATAACCATTTTTTCATGATTAACTTTGATCATCATCGACAGTTTATACATTTGTGATAATCAATCGATTTGATTGAAAAAAAAAATTTTTTAAACAAAACAAAACAAAAAAAATGCCGAAACAATTCGATATATCGATTATGAAAATTATCGTTCATCACTTTTTTATCATCATTTGTTCGTTATTATTATCATTATCATTTATGATGACAATCATCAATTGTGATAATAATAAAAAAAATGATGATGATAAAAATATCATCCTAGATAAATCTGTAAGTAATGATTTGGATTTTTAAAAAATTGATTTTTATCAAAAAAAAAAATTTGTTTTGTTTTTTCACCACTACTGCAACTTCAACTTCATTCGTTGATGATGATGATGATGATGATGATGATGATGGTTCGACGAGAGATTAGGATCTCAAAATTTTAATTCAAAATATTAAATTTGATAAAGATTTTTTTCAATCAATTTTGGAAAAAATCCTCATACCACGAAGTGTAAATTCAGCTGGCCATGAAACTGTTCGGCAAGTATGTCACGAATTTATTTTTTTTTTTTTTGAAACGGAAAAATTGAGTGAATTTTTTTTTTTTTTTTTGTTTTTTTTCTTTGCCAAAAAAAAAAAAAAATTTTCAGTATATTAAAAATACATTGCGAGACTTGAATTCACGATGGCATATTGAAGAGGATGTATTCCGGACACGAACACCTGCTGGTCAAGTTAAATTTCAAAACATAATTGCCACATACGTGCCAGAATTTGGTTGTATACGAAGTAAATCATCATTGAAACGAACAATATTAGCCTGTCATTATGATTCATTAAAATCGTCGCTAGTAAAAGGCCATAATAATACGGATATTAATCAAGTGGAAAGATTCACTGGTGCCACCGATGCTGCCGTATCATGTTCAATGATGATTTATCTAGCGTATACGATGAATGATCATCTGGAAAAACATTGGCTCCACCATTTCAATAGTAATCGTACCATACAATTGAATACGTTGCAATTAATTTTTTTCGATGGTGAAGAAATTATTCGTTCTGAACCGAATGCATTACGACGTAATAAACGACGATATAAATCGAAATCACCACAAAGTGATTCATTATTTGGTTCAAAACATCTTGCTAATAAATGGGAAAAGATTACGAATAAAATCCATGAACAGAGGAAACGATTCGCTACATTGGCTAATATGACCAATATGAAACGTTCAAGTCGTTATCTTTTATGTGATGGTCAAGATTCAATATCGGCTAAACAGCGACTGATTGATATTCAAAATGAAAATCAAAATAAAAAGAAAAATGGTAAAATTACCGAAGTGTTAATAATATCACCACAAGATTATCATACAATTGATGGTATACAATTATTCATATTATTCGATTTGATCGGTGGATCTGGTTCGCCACGTTTCTATAATACAAATCTCAATACAAGTCAACATTTTCAGCAATTAATTCAAATAGGTATTTAAAAAAATAGATAGGTTTTTTCTCACCTCGTTTTGATTTAACGTTTGATTTTCTGTTTTTTGTTTCTAATCAAGAAAAAAGTTATCTACAATTCAATAATGAAAAGAAAACAGCCAAATCCATGAGCGGTGGTAGTAATAAGGTTTTCTTTCAACAGAATCCAGCATTTATGGTCAGTTTTGTACGCGATGATCATCTACCATTTGTCATACGAAATGTACCGGCACTTCATCTGATACCACATCCATTTCCACGAACATGGCATAGTATGGATGATAATGTTGATAATCTTAATTTTAATTCTATTGGCCGTTTTACGAATATTATGCAATTATTTCTGTTAAATTTTTTTCGACCAATCTAATGGTCAGCAAAAAAAATTGAATTTCACAATATTCGAATCATCATCAGCAATAAAGTCATTTATTTATTTATTTTTTTTTTGGCAAAAAACATTCAATTGTCTGTTTGTTGTGGGCGTTGTTGTTGTTGTTGTTGTTCATGTGTCAAACAAGTTGCTGCATCGTTATTGTTTTTATTATTCAAAACAATATCGTACGTTGATTTAATTGGCGCTGATTTTTTCATTGTTGTTGTTGTTGTTTTGTTGTTGTTGTTGATGACTTTGGATACAATAATAAATGAATCAATTTGGTAAAAGGAAGTTCGAAAAAAATATGTATAATGATTGCAGCAAGAACTGATATTATGATGAGTAGAAAACAGAATGTAAAAGTACCGAATTCATTTCTTAATTGTGGAAAACGTGTATGATGTACAATGAACCATGTTAATGGTACATGAACCAAATAAATGGCAAAACTGATTCTAGCCAATGGTACAAAAAAATGTGATGATAATGTTTTGATAATAATATTTTCTTTCATTATTGTTGGATATGTTGATAATAAATAGAACATGAATGATAATGATATAAGCCACAATATATTCGGTATGGTTATAATCAATGCATCCGACCATGAATAGCTGCTAATTAAATCAAGTAATTGTCGTTCTTGTTGATAATCAACATAAAATAATGGAAATATATGCGGTACGATGGCCAACATTGCTTGGCTGAATAGAAATAGATTTCTTATTAAAACCTAACCAAATTAAATGATTATATATATAGGTAAACAGAGGAACAAAACAACAACAACAAAAAAAATATTAACAAATTTATCATATATAAAACACATGAAAAAAAAATCTAATTATCATTATCGTTATATGGTCAAACCTTGGACATGTTGAAGATGATTTTTTTGTTGACCATAACACCGATTGTAATGCCAGTAAAATAGGCTTCAAAATGATTATATGTGGCTGTCCAATAGAAAAAATAGCCACGATCAGCTAGACTATTTTTTTTGGAGGAGGAGCAGGGGTATATAAATGAAAAACAAAATGTGAAATTAATGATTCCCCCCTTTCGAAAAAAAGAGATAAATAAATTACGGTAATTGTGGATATAATGGTGAAATGAAAAACGGTATTCCATGTATTTTCCAAATAAACATGACCATGGTCATTATGTATGATGAAATGATGAATAAAAATGTTATCATGTAGGCTAAACGATTAAAATTATGATAATGTAATGCCAACACAATGAATGAAAGTAAATAAAGTTGAAAATCAACGGAAATGTACCATGTTTGAAATCCACACTGTGATGAAAATGAAAATGAAAATTAAACACAATGATGATGATGATGATGAATTGATGGGTGAAAAAAATATAGAATATCCAACACAAACCATTTGTCTGAAATCTAACCAATTATTTATGTATAACAGATGATATGCTAAATTGTTTACACATGGTTTCAAATATGGTTCGATAATTTTTTCATGAAATAATGGTCCTGCACCGGTAAAACCTAACAATAATGTTAATATGATATAACCAAGATAACAAGGTGTAAAACGTAACCACCGAACCAATACATAACGGCCAAATGATGGTGAATTTTTAGATTTTAAAAAACTTTGTGCTAATAAAAAACCACTAAGAAGAAGAAGAAGAAGGAAAAAAATAAATCAATTAATTGATTGAGATTGAATAGCAAAAACAAAAACAAAAATGGCAAAAAAAATTTTGAACCTCATCATAAAAAATGATTTTATAGTCCATGTACTATTGACCAGATATCGATTGCTTATATGTTTCATTTGTCGTAGATAATCATCTGGAAAATGAATAAATGGTGATAATGGACTTAAATGTAATACACCTTGATTGATTGATACATGTGATATAAGAACTATTAATGTTAATAAAACACGCCAGCCATCGATCCATGGATATTGCATTCGTTTTTTTATAACAAATAATGAACGAAAATTTGTACATAACGAAAAACATGATATCATTTGCAATGATTTTGTACCATTATCATCCATTTGAACACCATATATTTCCAATATTGTAGCCAAAATAATCAATGCAAATAAAATTATTATTGTGGTGGTTAAAATGTATTTGGTTAAAAACCAATCATTAAATGATGAATCCTGTTTTGTTTGACAGAATTCAATGTTGAAATTGGTATCGCGTAATGGTTGAAAAGCTGATTTTTTGTTGTTGTTGTTGTTGTTGTTCAACAATAACAACAAAACAAAAAACGAAAAAAAGTTAATAATCAATATAAATAATTGAAAATGCAATTTTTTTTTTCATATTTACCATCCTGGATTATATTGCCAACAAATTTTGTTTCACAAACAGATGGTAAACATATTCCATTTGCAATTGGATAACGAACATTGGCCTGTAACCAACGTTCCAATAAAGATTGTTTCCATGTATCATTGATGTTGGCATCAATTTTCAAATATTCTGAATTTTGTGTTGGATTTATCGAGGGAAATCTTTTCAAATGATTTTTGTTGGCAAACGTAATGTAGCAATACAATATTTTCCAATAAATGAGATATCATCATCATCATTTTTCGATGATAAATGATGATGATGATGATGATGGCTAGTAGTATCTATACTGATACAGGAATCGAAATCACCAAAACTAGTAAAAGTACCAGATAATAATCCATGGCCAAATATAGATCCAGTAGAATCGATCACTGAAATGAAATGGTGTAAATAATAATTAAATTCAAAATGGAAAAAAAACAACAACAACAAAATTTTCCAACAACAACAAAATAACACTCACATTTAGCTGACCATTCAGTTTCAAGTGGATGTATTAATGTTTGTTTTAATAGTTGTAAACAATTTTGATCATTAATAGTTTTGACATAGCTACTAGTGTTGACATTATTATTAAATAAAATTTGATAATATTTTCGATAATTATTAATCATCAATGATTGAACATGATTGAAAAGAAAATTATTAGCAATTTGAATCTGATGATCATGAATTATTGGATTAAAATAATCAGCATTATTTTTATATGGATTGGTGGCACCCAAACATATGTTGACCATTAATAATAATAACAACAAAAATGACATGATGATGATGATTATCGTTGTTGTTGTTGATGATGATGATGATGATGATATGAACCTCAAATCATGAAATGATCTTGATCGACTAGATTGTGATTGAAATTTATACATTTTTGAAGGAAATATCAAAATATAAAAAAAACAACTTTCTCACTTTTCATTCTTAATAATTACCTTTGTTTTCAGTGCAAATGATTCTTTTACAAACATTTATTTTCAGGGCAATATAACTTTATCATCATCATCATCATAGAAGGACAAATGATGGATTTTTTTTTTTTTTTTAATAAACCGAATATAAACTGATCATATATATGTGTGTATTGCATTTCATCGCAAGAATAATTTTTAAATGCCCCCAGCCAGTGATAAAAATAAATAGATTTTCACAAAGATACGGTTGACATTCTTAATATTTGTAAAAAATAAATGATGATGATGATGATGAGATTGGCAACACCACCACCAGTAGCAGCATCAGCAGCAGCAACAGTACTATAGTGATATCCATCATGAATTTTTGTTTTCCCTTTAATATTTCCCATTTGTTTGTTTTTTCTTTAACTTGTTTGTTTGTTTGTTTGTTTATGTTTGACATTTATCTTCCATTGTCATATACGTTTTTTTTCTCTTACTTTATTTGATTCCATCACTACAAATAAATGGTCTGGTCAATTGTGAAATATGAACAATGACAATTTTTTTTTTGCCATATTTTTTCGGTTAATTCATCAATCAATCAATCAATCAAATTGAATTAAATCAACCGAATCGATTCAAACAAACACAACACACACACACACACATCATCATCATCATCATGTGGTTTGTTTGAAATGTTTTTTCGTAATATTTACCTGATGATAAGTTTCAAGAAAGAAAAAAAAAGACATTTTTTTTTCTTTTTATTTGTACTGTCAATTAGTTATGCACATCATAAAAATATCGAGTTTCTTCAACGATTTTGAAGATATTTAATCGGTTTTCGATATTTTTTTTTTTTTTCGACAAAATGGTTTTTTATCTTTTATTCTTCTTGATATTTTTTTTACCACATTCTGTTTGTCTTTGAATCGTTGATAAGGCAGATAAGTAAATGGTAATAGTAGTAGCCAATGGATTGACAACTTGTTCCATGTCCAACACCAATTTTGTCATTCATTTCATTTTCTTAATCTCGATTTAATCTTTGGTTTTTACCAAGAATTGAATTACATTTTGAAAAACGTTTGAATTGAAACGTTAGAACTTTCCATAACCAGTTTGACGAGCAATTTCCAAGATCTATAACGGATTTACTTTTTGAATAATTCTTGAACTTTTTAAAAAAAAACATTCATGTATCGCCATCTATGATGATGATATGTGAGATATATATGTGAATCTATGTGAATCCCAATGGAAAAAAAACAACTACCATGAAGAATGATGAAAAACCAATATAGACAGCTTAATTTAATTTAATATATTTAATATAAGTAGGAAGAGAAAGAAAATAATAACCATAACCTATCGAAGAAAGAAAAAATAGCAAATAATTATTGGCCTTGACGTTCTTTATCATGATAATGAACGGTGAGGATTCAAAATGAAATCAACAACAACAACAACAAGAACAAGAAAAAAGGATGGAAAAAAATTTGATCGATAAACATGATTAATGTGTCGTGTATCTATATATATATAAAAGGACAAGTAAACACAAAGGAAATCAAATCGTGATTTGACAATGCCGCAGGTAAGTAATTGATTGTGAAATGTTTATGTTTATAAATGTTATTGAAAAGTACTTTTTTTTGTTCCTAAACATTCTAATTAGCCATCGAATGTTGAATATTATGATCAATTAGATCGATTAAATTTCATTTATCCACATTATGAAAGTCCATTTCCTGTGGTGATAAATCCAAACTATTCCCAATGGATGATACGATACTGTTATGAATGGGCTATTGATAATAGTGGACCATTACGAAAACATCAAGCATTCGTTGATTCAATCCGTAATTCTGATCTTGGTCTTTATTCAGCATGTTGTTTTCCATCGGCAAATTTTCATCGTTTAGAAAAATTAATGAAATGGTGTACGATGTTTTTTCTTGCCGATGATTATCATGATGGTCTTAGCCGTATACTAAGTAATGGACAAATTGATTATGGTAATTTTTGGCATCAAATGATCGATATGTTTGATGGTATATTGACCGGCAATCAGTTGAGTATTAATTTTTTTTTTTGCCGAGAAATTTATATAAAATATTCGAATTTTTTTTTTTGAAACAGATGTAATGAATGGCCAGATTTTATAAAAGCCATACAACGTGTGATGAAAGAAACATATTTCGATTATACAAAACAACAGATCAATCGATCAATTAAAATGTTTAAAGATTATATAGCTGGTAATATATTGGAAGATGAATGGACCACGAATAATAATAATGATCATATGAGTAATGGTAATGGAACAAACGAAACAATTATTCCTAATTGGGATAGTTATATGAAAGCACGTCTTGGTTCAGTTGGTGGTCAGATGACGTTACAATTGATTGAATATGCTAAAAATATAGCCCTTACTGATCATGAATGGAACCATCCATTGATGAAATCATTGATTGATGCTGTATCCGAAGAAATGATCATGGTTAATGATCATCTAACATTTCGTAAAGAGGTTGCTGAAGCCAATTTTAAATTTAGCCGTATGAGACATGCTTATACTGTTCTAGTTCATACTAAAGGTGATTAATTCGAACCAATCATTTATTGTCGATGATAATAATAATTATTTTTCCTATATTTTTCAAATAGGTTTTACATTACAAGAAGCTGTTAATCATGTACATCAATTAATTCAAGAAAAAGATACCTTTATATTCGATCTAATCGATCAGATTATGCTTGATCCTGTATTGAATTCCAGTACAGAAGCATCAGAACGATTACGGCTATATTTGGAAGGTGTAAAAGAAGTATTGGGTGGTTATTGGCGTTATGCTGTACAAGCACGAAGATATCATGGACAAAATTTTCAATTGGATGCTATACCACCTGGTGGACATTTTTTATATGATCAACATCAAACAATTATACTTTTGAATAATAAAAACAAATTAAATAATCATCATCAACAACAACAACAACAACATTATTATGAATGGTTAAAACCGGTACCGGAGAATGTTCAACCAAAATAAATAAACAAAATGTTAATCTTGATCAATAGATGGAGCTCGTTTTTTGTTTTTCAAAATTTTTTTTGTTTTGTTTTGTTTTGTTTTATTCGGCAAAAAGAAAAATAGAACAAAGAAAAAAAAACCACCACAAAGTCACAATTTCGTTTTTTTTTTGCTTAATATTATTTAATTTTGACAATTGATTTTTTTTATTTCATTTTTTTTCCAAAAAAAGGATTTTGTGTGTGTGAGAGAGAGAGAAAGAAAAAGAAAAAATGAAAAAAACAGAGATCTTTAACAAATTAATGATGAAAAAGAAATTAACACTTTTTTTTAAACATGACTTGAGAATAAGAAAAAAAAATGAATGAAATGTTTTCATTGATGATCGATAATTGATGATCGATGATGATGATGATTTGTTTTTTGTTATTAAATGAAGAGGTGAGAGATGGTTGTCCAAATTTGCCAAACAAGAAATGAATGGTGATTTGTGTTGATGATGATGATGATAATTTTCACAATTCTATCAATATTTGTTTTTTCGTTTCTTTTGAAGAGAAAAAGGAATAGGAAAAAAAAGAAGAGGATAAGAAACGATAATAATGAGAATAATATAATGATGATGATGACCACAAATTTTTCTATTTCGACTATAAATGTGAGATAGTTTTAATGTTTTTGTGTTTTTTGGTGTGTGTATGTGAGTGGATAATCATAATGAAAATATGAATCTCAATGATCAAGTGCATGATTGGTGTCTGTGTGTGTGTGTGTGTAATGAAATGAAAGAATCAAATGATACAAAAAAAAATGAAAATCTAACCAATTCCCATTTCCCATATTTTCCATTCAAGAATTGTTTTTTTTCAAAATCATCAAAAATTTACATATAGAAAAAAAAACACCCACAACCTGTACAATACAACAACAACAACAACGAAAAAAACAAATATTACACACACACACACACACAAAATCAATCAATTAATTTTCTTTGCTTTTCGACAACAAAATTATTGATTTTTTTTTATATGAATGAATGAATGATGATGTGATATATATAATGATGATGATGGTTATCAAGGAATTTTTTTTTTTTTTTTGGAAATGAAAACGTGAAAAAATATTTTGTTTGTAGTTTATGTTTATGTGTTGTTTTAAAGTGAGTTATTATTATTATTACAATGGTTTTTTTTAGTTTGTTTTTGTTTTCTCACAAATAATAACAATAAATGGTAAAATAATAATAAATGGTATGGTAATGTATCATTTGTTATTTGTTTGAAATGATGATAATAATTTTATGGGTAATGATGATGATGATGATGATGTGATAATGATGATAGACAGACACACACACACACACACACAGATACAGTGTCTGATTCTTATTATTATTATTATATATAGAACACATCGACATTTTATATATATTATTTATATATATCCTAAATATAATTAGAAAAAAAATAGATAACACACCCATCATCATCATCATCATCATCATCGTAATCATCATCATCAGCGTTTGATGTAATAATGTTATAAACTACAATCTAAATGATGATCTATATATATTTATTATATTGTGAAGATGATGTGGACACATGTAGTAGTTTGTAATTTTTCTTTTCTTCATTTGATGATGATTCCAATCAATCAATAATCTATTGATATGAGATTATTTCTTTTTTTGGTTTCAATTATTCCATCAGGTTGTTTGTCATTTTATCACACTATAATTTAGATATATTTTGAACGATTTTTTTTCTTCTTGATCCCAGACACCAAAACAAAAATGTTGTTGCGGCCAATTTTTGTTAAAAAGTCGATTGTCCTTGAATCACACTTATAACCACCACCACTACCACCAACCCCATTAACAAGATAGAGCACAACACCATAAACCAATTCTGGAAAAGATGACAAACATTGCTTTCCGGATGAAATTCTTTACACATGTTTGATGAATCACTTTTCTTCATTTTGCAAATAGAAAATGGTTTGTATACTTTTTGAATGAATTATATTATTCCATTATTTCACTTATTTGTTGAATTGTTTGTGTTTTATATTATATAATAATAATAATAATCATTAGTCCAATTCACTATCACTGCTACTTTCACTGAGTTGTAAGTTTGAAGCTCTAGAATCAGCACGTGACCAATTGTTTTGAATTGAATTATCACAGTCAGTATCAAAATTGTTTGATGAAGATGCACGGCATAATTTTTTGCTGTTTTTATTCGTTAACGATGCGGCTGATGATGGTATATTATTACCACTTTTGCCAGGATTTGATGGCGATGCTTTACTATTGCTATTTAGCATACAAGAAGTGACATATTTTCTGAGCGCTATCAATGTCTTTGGTTTCAGTGCTTCAAAATCGATTTCAACATTTTGTTCATCATCACATCTCAACGATGGTTCGGTTGATTGCAAAATACGAAGAACATTTTGCAAATCGGTTGCTATATAAATGAAAAAAAACATTAAATTAGATTGTATGACAGAATGAAAAATTCAAATACAAACCATGAAGATTTTCAAGATCTTTTTTCAGTTTTTTAAGATCATCAATACTTTCAGGATTGAATGGTTCAGTAAGCTGATAGGAATCATCAACATCAGAATCAGAATTGTCATCCTCCTCGTCAGAGGATAAATGTTTTCGTTTCTTGTTTGCTGAAGATTTTTGGGACAACCTTTTATTTGTTTTAGTTTTATAGCCATTTTTTCTTGGCTTTTTTGAATTGGAAAGTTTTCCATTCTTAATTCCATTAGCATTTGGTGCGATTGCGTTGAGAAGAGCAGTGGCAGCTGTAGCTTCCGGATTGTGAGATAATGCCGTTGTTAGAGCTTCTCTCAAGCATGCTACTTGAAATTCAAGCATTTTCATACGATCTTCACTGGCAGGTTCATTATCTGCATTAGTATTGCCATTATGTCTATCGGCTATCATTGAAACATTGATAGGGCTGTACAAATGACCAGATTCATGTTGAGAGACACGACTTTTGAGACTATTTTTCTTATTATTTGTTTCTAATTTCGGTTTTTTGCCACTATGAGATTTGCTTGATGAATTCGATGAATCAGAAATATGATGATGACTTGATGATGTTGAGGCACTAGGCATATGTCGCACCGAAATGGATGGAGTACTGTTGTGTTTTGGAACAATCAATTTTTCTTTCAAATAATCCTCTGGAAACTGTGCATATCGATATTCGAATGCTTCCTATTAAAATAATCAATAAATGAATGAGAATCAATAAAACATTAAGAAATGATGATCATACCCTAAGTTGTCTGGCTTGTTCGATGATGGGAGATTCTGGTGGATTATAACGTAAACAATTTGAAAACATTAATCTCATATCTTTAGCGAAATCATCCACAGTGGTATATTTTCCCGATTGAATATTCGTCTGATTGAAAACAAACAATGATTAAAAATGATATGATATACATGTCATGTAGAAAAAAACTTACTTTGATAGTTGAAAGATCAATCGGTTTTTTAATTTTTTGTAAATAATCAGGATAATCATTTGGATTAACCGGTTTCCAGAATGGCCAAGCATAATTTTCGTGTTTCTTGGTGAACAATTCTTTGACAAATTTACAACACTCGCTCAATGGTTTGTTCAATGGAACTTTTCTCACTGTAGGTTGTTTCACAGGAGGCGTAGAAATTGGAGCTGGTAAATCTTTACTTGGTTTACGAACCATAACACCTCTCTCACTACGTGTTGTCATCTTGATCGGTGAGAATGGTCCAACCAAACTGTTTTCACCAATCGGAAATGGAGTCTGACCATCGATACTATCTGACAATGATCCACTTCGACGTTTCGAGCTGCGTTTTTCATTCAATTTTTGAACTAAAAAGGCAAAAAAATAAAAATAATTGAAATGCTCAAGCGAACAAATAAAAACCTACATTCTTCAATGTTTTGTCTTGGTGGACAGGGAATTTCTTCTTCCACAAGAGGCATATCTTTTAGTTTTTCATTGAAAAATTCTTCCAATTTTTTGCCGGCAGAATAAACATAATCGGTGGGAGCATTGAAATTATAACAATTTTTGAATATTTGACGGATATCACTGATACATTCACTAGCAGATTGATACCAAAGAAAATTGAGTCGATTTTTGACTGTATTTAGATCCATTGGTTTTCTGATAACTAGATAATAATGAGGAATCTTGAGACGGACACTATCGACAGGATTCAAGAATGGCACAGCCGTTTTATAGCGGCAAATGTATTTGGTTAGAATGGTCTTCAGAAAATTTAATTGATTCGTAAAACGATAAGGTATACTATCATCTTCCCTGTAGAAGATCATGTCGGCCATGCCTTTTATCAAACGAAGACCATTCGGTAAGATTGTTTCACCATCAAAATCAATCGTAATCGATTTCCAATCATCATCTTCAGATGCATCGATGACATTTTCAATCAATTCTTCAGTGATCAATTTAATTTCATCATCTAAATTTTCATCATAACTTTTCATAGAGATCTCCTCAATCATATCATCATCATGAGATGCAACATCAGAACTATCACCGAAAATACTTGTAGCATGAGAATGATCGAAATTATTTTCGGACATATCACCATTTGATAATAGAAACGAATCTCTATGGATGGCAACATCGAATGATGATCGTGTCGATGATGGTGGTGATGGAAGATTAATTGTTGTTGTAGTGTTAGCCATCACTGATGATGAATCTGATTTCAAACTACTGATTTCATCATTGGCATGTTCATTAAGATTCGATGATGCACGTGAATTGTCATCATCTTCCTCTTCACAATCATCCAAATTCTGTTCATTATTTAAACTTTCATTCGACATGTCAGATGTTGATGATGTCAAATGAGGTCGAAAATGATTAGAAGAGCTATACTTTCGTTTCATGGGGATTGAAGGATTCATTGGTGAAAATGGGATGGTCGTTAATTCAAGCATCTTTTTCGAAATGTCCATCGAATTTATCTCATCATGCATTTTTAGTTTCATGAATTCGGCAATTCAAGATTTTTTTTCTTTTGTTCACTGTTTGCGCTTTAGAAAATTATTATATAACAACTTTGGTCTTTTTTGGATCGCTGTGAAAGAAAAAGAAACCAAAAGAAATTTGAGATAAAATGCAATAAATGAAACACGATTTATTATATGGTTTTGTAAAGAAAATATATATTTATTGTGAAACATTATAACACTACAATTTAAGTAAAAAAAAAACAAAGTGTTCAAAGTTCAGTTTTTCTACTGATGTAAGGAAAAAATGGAAAAAAAAAATTTCAAGCAAAAGCATGACTAGCATATTGTCTTTCTGAAAAAAATGTTTTTCATTCAAAATAATTACCAATTATCTTGAATTGTTCTAAACTGCTTTCTCAAATGACACGGAAAAATCATCGAAATTCCCTGAGAAAGAGATCAAAATTCACATTTGAAATAAAAAAAAAAAAAAAAAAAAGATATGTCCAGTTGTTAGATGGACAGTGGTGGTGGTTGGTGTTGACACGAATTCAGTGGCACAAAATCTGCAAAATGCAGATTTGCAGCACACCGTATCAATCAATTGATGATAATAATGTTGTTGTCGATTTGGATAGATGAAAAAATGTTGGCTATTCAATTCCAATGATTAATCTTTCCAAAAGATTTGATAATTGTTGTTGATGTCGTTGACGAAAGATGGAGATGAAAATTAATGACGACAAAAACAAAAATTAAAATCGAAGCGTGTTGTTAACATGGAATTTAAAAAAAATTCAACAACAAATCAATTCAACTTTTGTGTGTGTGTGTGTTTGACTATTTGTGCGTATCAATATTACGATTTGATATGATTTTATAATTGAGTGTTGTTGTTGTTGTTGACTATATGGAATTGATGATAATAATGATGAGCAGAAGAAAAAAAACCCGATTATAACGAAGACGAGGTTTATAAAACGGACAATTAAAAGTTTGTTGCGTGTGTGAATTGGGTGGCAAAAGATGATGATGATGATGATGTTCAATTATTAAATCGAAACAAATTGATGATGTTAAATTAATTGCTTAAACACGTTTTTCTTTTGGACGAATGGTCCATACAGAATCCAATACACACAACACAAACAAAACGCACATTCATTCCATCATAATGATGATGATGATGATGATGATGAATTCAATCCACACAATAAATAAATGGGGGGAAGAAACTTTCACATTCACAAAACGTTTTATCAATGGGGAGAATTCAACAGGAAACACACTGTAAAAACAAATACATATAATACAATAACAATACAAGGCTCATACAAAAACGTTGTGTTTCTGTTTGGAAAGAAGACACTTTTAGCACAATCGCAGAATACACACACACACACACAAAAATACAACACGACAAAGTGAGTGAGTTCAAATACAAAACATATCTGTTGTAAAAATGATGATGATGATGATGAACAAGCAAGAGCAGAGAGCAATCAAATGTGAATAAAGAAGAACGGTGAGAGTCACACAACAACACACTCAAATACACAAAACATGAAATGAGAATCGTTGTCCGTCCTTGGTTAATGTTGTAACGAAAAAAAAAAAAAAAAATTTTTTTTTTTTTGTCACAAACAAAAAAGAGACCAGCACTAATATCAGGTAAAATGAAGCACACAAGCAGGCATCCAGCGCGCGAATGATCGTACATAGATCGTGGTGCTGCTGAAACATTTATCATTTTTTCATTCATTTATTAACATCTTATTCAACTACTACCATCAATCTAATTCAATGAAATACTACTTCTTTTTTCCATAAATAAATTGCTAACAGCATTAAAATTAATGAAAAATGAATAAATATACCCAAAAAATGATAGTAGCATTTATGGATACTATAGAAACATAACTGATAGGATCAAAATGGTTAAAAAGTAGACGTTTAAAATTATGCTATATATATATATATTTGTAGACCCTATCTTTTTTCTCAATGGATAAATCTCGGCTTTTTCTTATACAATATACACACATACACAAATAGAATATACTTTGTGATTGAATATATATACAAGAATAATAAATGACGACGAAGATATACTGTAAGTATATATATATAAAATAAATTCATTCGTGTGAATAAAAAAAAAAAATAAAGACAAGGAAAAAAGGCGCGTACTTCATACATACAAACACATACATACACACATAAAACGTTTGTTTGCATTTTATTACTTTAATATATATAATACCACATGTACATAGAAAAAAAAAAAAAATCACCACCATCACTAATGGCAACAACACTATATCATCATTTTCCTTTTCCGTTAAGCGGCATATTCATTGAGCATGAACCATGCCAATATAAAAATTGTTGTTGGTTGTTGTTGTTGTTGTATATATTGTGGGAAAGGAAGATATACTTTTTTTTTTTGTTATCATCACTATTTTCACTTGATACATACAAACTTGTACAAAATAGTAATAATATCTACTGTCGATTTTCAATTTCAATTTTTCTTGATGATTCTGTATGTGTGTGTGTGTTTTGAAATTCTTGAATTACTAGTAGTAGTAAATAGTTCCTTATATTATATACAAAATGTTGATGTTAATGTCATTTCCTGTGAGAATTTCCCTTGTCTCTTTCTCTTTTTTCATTCAATAATAATAACCCCAAAATCAAGTTCAAGTTTTGAATAATTTTTTTTTCTTCTTTGATTTATTTCGAATTTATTTTCATTTGTTCAATAATTCCAGAAAAAAATAAGACCGGTTACTTGTATGGTGAAATTGCTTAAAGGGATGATCATCATCATCATCATTTATGTTCAATGTTCAAAGTACACACACACACAATATAATCATCATCATTTACCATGAAAAGAAAGATTGACGATTGTTGGTTGTTGTTGTAGGTATATTTTTTTTTCTCAAAACAAAAAAAAAATCAAATTGCAGCAGCATTCAAGAAATGGTGGGGGGGAGAGAAACAAGAAATATAATGATGATTTCATGGAACTTGTGAGTCATTTGTGAATAGTCACTCTATTTTAACATTTGTATGTATGTGAATGTTGTTGGCATCATGTGTACTACCAATCTTCGATTATTTTGTCAATGTCTTGAAATGATAATTGAAAAAAAATGATCGTTGAAAAATAAATTGATGATGATCATGATGATCATGATGCAAACGAACGTTTGTTTTTCAATCGAATCAAAAATTTTTTTTTTTGTTTGTTGCAGAGCATACACTGTATAACGGAGGGAGAGTGATCAATAATAATCTTTTATAATAAAAATCTATGCTACTACTACTACTACTACTATGCATATATATATATATATATATTGGTGGTTATACAATGCAATACAATACAAGTGCATAAATAAAGGTGGACGTGTGTATGTCTATTGAGAGTGGCACAAGGCACAACAACAACAACAAAAACCTCCACACCAAAAAAACAAAAAAAAATTTTTTTTTCTTACAGCATCATTTATCAACCACTACTTTTTTTTTCTCATGACATATCCAAAAACAACGTAAAACAAAAAAATAAGTAGCAAATGTTGTGGAGTCGTGTATAATACGCGTTTTGTCGATCATGATGATGATGATGATGATGTTGATTATGGTGACGGGGACAACTCAAGGACGAATGGGCGAATTTGTCGTCATCATAACGATACACCAAAAAAAAAAAAAAAAATTGAGAAAGAGACAAAGACCAAATGCATGGATAATAATAATTTTGTATACAAAAACTAAAAAAAAAAAAGAAAAGAAAAGAACACATCATATCACAGAGAGAGGGCGCCATTATCGCATCATGATGATGATGAGTCGTTTTTTTTTGTTGATTCTTGTATCAAATATAACATAAAAATCAAAAATCATTCTCTCAACACAACAACAACAACAACAAGAATATTCTTTTCTTTTTCTTAATTTTGATGCTGATGATAATGATGATGATGATGATGATGATATTTATACTTTATGGTTCGTTTATTTTCCATTTTGGGTGGGATGTGGGTGTGTGTGTGTTTTAGTTTTTATAATAACAAATTCAAATGCAAAAAAAAAACAATTGCCATTTCAGAAATCAATCGTTTGTTTTTCCTGAAAAGATTATTTTTGGCAAAAAAAAAAAAAAAAAATTTTTTCCACAATTCTAAAGAATTTTCGTATTCGAGAAGATTCTCTTCTATTGTGAGATTATCAGAATCTTTTTGAAAATCAAATGGATTTTTTTTTAGTTTTATGTGATACAAGAAAAGATTATGATCAGATGAAATGAATGATGGCCAAATAGGCCAATTTATGTTTTGATGATCATAGGTCAAACACATACTCCCACACTTTGCCCTTTTTTCTCTTTCTCTCTCTCTCTTTACAAACATAAACAGATCCAAAAAAAAAAAAAAGAAAAATGATGTGATTGAATCCAATGATGTCCGAGTTCATATAAATGTGTCTAGACAATCGAGAAAAAAAATTCTTGGAATTTCTTGAATCATGAATTTTCATAAACCAAAAAAAAAAAAAAAAACACACATCCATCAGAAAAAAATCAATCGCGAATTGATTATCATCATCATCATCATCATCATGATCAATCCAAGTTATATAACCCGTCCGTATGGTTTCCGTTCCCCACCATACAACCACCACCACCACCACCACTACCACCAAACTCTTGTCAATGTACAAATTATCATCATCAAATGTAAAGCTGGTTTTCTTCTTCTTCTTCTTGTACGAAGATTTTTCATTTAAAAAATGAAAATGATGATGATATGCGAATGTGTGTGTGTGTGTGTGGCAAGATCAATGCTTGTTTTCAAGGCCATTGAATCCACACTGAATACTTACACAACGCATATCATCATCATCATCATCACGCAACATCAACCAACCTCAAACCAATTTTTTCCTCACCATACACACACACACACACACACACAATACCAAGATATCTTGAAAAGTTTCTCTCCCTCTCTTTTTCATTTTGAATTGAATCGATGAAATTACACATTGCCACCTTGTTTGCATTTTGATTTTTTTTTTCGTTTGCGATTCTGTTTTTGATTTTTCATTGGTCAACAACAACATCGACAACAAACAAACAAACAAATGATTCATCGATGCGATTCTAAACACGTGATGATGATGATTCTTTTGAAAATTTTAAAACAGGAAAAAAAATTTTTTGTTTTTTTTGATAATTTAAAATCATCATGGAAACAACATTGTGTATGATTGCAATCAATCAATCAATCAATCAATCAATACGACAACAATAACAATAACAAAACAGAAAAAAAATCAGGCCATTTCCATTAACATAAAATCAGAATGAATCATAAGACTAATAATCATAATCACCATTTTATATAATGTACAATTTGTGTAGATCGATCGTATCGATAATAAATGTGTGTGTGTGTGTGTGTGTGTATGTTGTAAATATGTATGGAGATAAAAATAAATCAATGGATATCAATCAGACAAAATTTGGATAAAAAAAAAATTTTTTTCCTGAATGAATATTCATCAAACATGACAACAAACAAACAAACAAAATCAAATTGGGGAATTTGGAAAAAAATGAAACAAAACAAAACAAAACGAAAAAAAAACACTCAGAAACTCGGAAACTACGTCTTATGAATCATCGTGAATCTTTTTTTTTTTTTTTGCAAAAAAAAAATAAAACGAGGATCTTTAAATCTTTATGATGATGATGATGATGATTTCATCATATGTACAAAATAATACACTGACATACACACACACACAAAAATGTAGCATTTTATTTAGTAGTAGTAGTAGTAGTAGTAGTAGTAGCAAAAAAAGAAGCCATAGCCTGGAATTATAAATGATGATCAAAAAAAAAAAACGATATTTTTTTCCCTTGTCACACACAAACAAACAAACAGACACAAGGATAAAAAAAAAAAAATTTCTGCCGACAGCATGTAAACGGCATGGCATTTATTTTTTTTTTTCATTATTATTAGCATGTCAAAACACACACACAGAACAGCATGCTGAATCTGTGGATTCAATAATAACAAAAAAAAAGCTGGCGCGATATTTAAATCAAGAAAAAATGGCCAAATCGATTTAAAGTAAAAAAATTTATTAAAATAAATAAACAAAAACGAAAGGGTTGCTTGATTTATTCACAAAATGATTGATTGATTGATTGATTTTCAAGAATTTTTTTTTTGCTTGTTGTTTGTGTGTGTATGTCTGTATAATATTTTTAGAATTACAGAATTTCGGTAATTTTGTCCATCATTCTAAAGAATGATTCCAAATCAAATTGAAATATATAATTAATGTAGCTTAAACATTTTTATTTTAGTATATCACGCGCCTGGTTTTAACACCAAAATCATCATTAAAATCAATGTGTTTGTGTGTGTGTGTGTATAGTATGAATAGATGGATAGAAAATTCTGAATGAAACAACAACAGAATCTAATGCACTGAACACACACTTACACACACACATAGACATAGTGAATCAGTTTTCGTCTGAATCTCGGTCATATTCTTGATTCTTTGCTTCTTGCGAATTTCTGTATTCTTGTGTTAATACGTTCGTGTGTGTGTGTGTGTGTGTTTGGTTTATGTTTGTTGCTCTATTTTTTTTTATTGTCGTTTTTTTTTTTCTCTGGTTGTTTTTGTTCACATTTTATTCTTGTTGTTGTTTTTAAGATTTTTTTGTTTTTGTTTTTTTTGTTTAGTTTGTTGTGTTTGCATCCACACAGTACAGGAAAAGAATATTCATTCAGAAGAATATTTATTCAGAATATTCATTCAGTTTTTGTTCAATATTCGATTTGATTATTTCATTACTGCCTAGTTATATTTATTGATGATTACAATCCAATCGATGACAATGTGAATCATCATCATCATCATCATGTCCACGTATAACAAATGTCCAAATATTTTTTGTTTTGCACGTGCACGTGTATATTCTATATGCTTCAATCAATCAATCAATCAATCGATTCTATTGTGAATGATGCTTCTTCATGATTCATTCAAATCATCATCATCATCATCCAATCTAGTCCCCAAATAATAAAAAAAGTAAGCAAATTGCCTCTTTTCGCTTTTTTTTTTGTATTTCATTAGTCAAAAAAAAATGTTTTCGTTGTCATTTTGTTGTTTTTATGTGTCTAATTCCGTCGTTAGGTTGTGTAGTTGTTAATGGTGTGCATTTTTTGGTGTTTGGGTAAAGAAAAACATGATGACGACAATCATGGTATAATTTGCTTTTTCATATGTTTCTTTCTCTCTGTGTTTGTTACTATCTTTATCTCGAATGATTTTCTGTTTCTGTTTTTGATTTTGTTTTCATTATGAATCAAATAACCAGGATTTCATTTCATTTCATTTTTTTTTTCACTTTGATAACATACACATACACATTGAGAATAACCAGGAAAAAGAAGAAGAAGAAAAAACACAGAATTTTTTTTTGTTTGCTGGTTGGTTGGTTATCTCTAAATTTTTTTTGTTTTGTTTTGTTTTCATTTGAATTTATTATTAATCTTTATGCATTACACAATTATGGCACTAATGAAATATATATTCACAATTGACATACATATGTGAACGATGGCAAACATATACACAAACACACATATACACGCAAGGCAAGAATCAATCAATTGAGAGAAGAGAGAAAGAAAAAAAAGGCCGTGAGAATGAAAAAAAAAAAAAAAATCAATCAATAATCGATCGACAAATATCGACGACAATAAAAATTAGCAACAACAACAACAACAACAAGGAACACAACAAACGAACAAACAAGCGACACACACACACACACACACGCAGAGAGCGAATGGATGGATAGCGATTTTAAATATATGAAGAATTTTCTTACATTATCATTTCCTTTAGAACAAATTTTGTTTTTCTCTCTTCTAATATATTGCCCACACACAAATTCTATACACACACACACCACTATTGTCTGATGGAATAACTGAATATTTGGGAGTATAATCATCATCATCATCATCATCATCATCATCATCATCATCATCAGCATGATAAATAATAATAACACAACAGGAGATTATTATACCCACATATAGCCCAACACACAGAATACAAGTAAAAAAGGCTATAATTTTGGTAACATTTTTTGTTTCTCATCATTCACCATTGTTGTGTGTGTGTGTGAATGAATTGTATATACAGGCAAAATGAATAGAAAAAGAAAGGAAAAATAAAAATTGAATTCATATATATGAAAAAAGAATGAATTTGTATCAAGATGATTTTGATTGAATTTTTGATGATTCCATCTCTTTCTTTTTTTTTGATTATATCAAAATTCAAAATTCAAAAAAATTTTTTCGATTCAATTATAATTCCACATTTCATATATATTATATAGTGGGGGGTGAAATCCAATCATCAAATTGCAGCAAACACAATTCGATCGATCGATTTTGTAATATTATCGATCATCACCATATGGAAAAATCATCATCATCATCATCATCATCTTGTGATTATTGTTGTTGCTGCTGTTTTTATTGTCGATTTAATTGAATTTCGTGTTTTTTTTTTGGTTGAAAAAAAATTCATCTCACGCAAACATAACACCATCTGTCGGTTTTGAATGAAAATAATTACAAAAAAATTCGAACTTTAACAATTTTTTCATCATTTTTTTTTTTTTGTCAAAAAAATGAAATCGATAAAATTCGTGGATGATGATGATGATGATGATATTTTCATATTCATGAACACAGATGTTATGTTTGTGTACACATGATTTCTATCAATGATGATAATGAATGTTGATGCCGGTGTAGTGGCGGTGCTGGTGGTGGTGGTGGTGGTGATGGAACCCATTTTTTTCAATATTTTTTTTGTTTTTCTGTTTGATCATCATGACTCATTTTGATGATGATGATGATGATGATGATGAAGATGTCGTCGTTATTATTATTTATTCATCATCAGTTATTATATGGCGTTGATGATTTTGTTGTCATGAAATTAATATTATTAGTGATTAGTGATTTTTTTTCAGCAAAAAAAAAAAAAAAAAAAGAAATTCTGACAAATCATATATCAACAATTGTCAACAACAAACATTTGTAACATATCATCATCATCCATCGTTGTTGTTGTTGTTGTTGTTGTTATTGTTTTTATCAACATTTTTTTTTATTGTTCGTGCACGTAGTACACACACACACACAGAAAAAAAAAATCATTGAAAGTACGTGCTTATCAAAGTTTTTTTTTAATCTTGTCGAACGAATGTTTTTAATTCGTCACCACCATTCTTCAATAATTTTTCATTTTCAAAGAATCGATGATGATGATGATGATGATGAAACAAATTAAAAAAAAAAAAAAATAGAAATTGGGCCATGTTCATATAAGAGCGAAACGGCTTCTGGCATGACAACTAAGCAAAATGTATTAATCGATGATTTTAATTGATTGATTGATTATAATCGAAAAGAATTCATCTATTCACGTAAGTGTGTGTGTTGTATATGGATGCAATTATCAATCCATTTTTTCCAAGTAAAATGAAAATCCGTATAAAAACCAACAACAAAAAAATATTCGAATTTTACGAACACACACACACACACGTTATTTATGAATTTGTTTCCTCAATTTATTGGCTCAATTTCATCACTTTTTATTTCAAAATTTTTTACAGTGTGTGTGTGTGTGACCTACTACTACTACTACTACTACTACTACTATTATCCGTGTAGTGAAATTCGAATTTTTTTTTTATCGAAATATAAGATTTTTCACTTTTTTTTTGTATGTTCACCTAATAATTTTCATTTGCATTCCATTTTCTAAAAAAAAAACGAACGAATTTGATTTCAATCACAACAACCAAAGGTAACACCACCACCACCACCACCACCATCAAGCGACAAAACGTAAGTTTTAAAATTTGACAAAATAAAAACTCATGTTTCTCTTCAAGTGAGTGAATGAATGAGCATGATGATGATGATGATGAAATTTTCCTCATTTACCATCGCCATCATATCAAATCAAATCAAATCAATTTTTTTTTTTTGGTCATTCAAACCGTTATTTGATTTGTTTTTTTTTCGAATGTGAATTAAATTTCTATATACACACAATTTCCATTGCCGTCCTTGCTTTGTCATCGTAATATTGATGACGATGATCATTGTGTGATGATGATTGGTTGTATGTTTATGTGTTGACAATAATCAAAAAAAAAAAACAACAACAACAACAACAATAAAATATGAATATATATGAAAATGAAACAATGTTAATCATATACATTCATCAACAGTCATCAGAAATATGTTAATCATAATCATCATATTTCTATGGCTGTATTCCATCCATCAATCAATCCATTTTCATCAATATAATAATGGTAAGCAAAACATAGGAAATAAAAATAATCCACATTACATTTGGTGATTACAAATCAATTGTTGTTGACAATCAATCAATCAATCAATCAATCAATCAATAAGCAACAAAACAATGTGATCTAATTTGATTATCATCATCATCATCATATAATTGTTTAACATAGTGGTTAATTATTATCAATTCGTAACCACAACAACAACAACAATAATAATAAATAATGAAAATGATCCATAAATAATAATAATAATAATGATAACCTTGTCAGATTAATAAGATCAACATTTTTTTTTGTTTGTTTGTTTGTGTGTGTGTTGATAACCTCAAACACACAATATATATATATGGTTTCATTGTTTCAATTATCATTATCATCATCATCATAATGAAATGTGTATGTGTAACATTTAATTTGGCTTATTTCCTACCCCCTTAAAATATATCATATTATAATTGACGACAATCATTTATGATCGATAAACACAGAACAACAACAACAACAACAACCAAATGTTTTCTTCCTCTTTTTGTTTTCTCAACATGTAATTGTGTTTTGTGCATTATTTGATCAAAAAATTATCATCATTTCGTATGAATCATACACACACACACAAAAGCCTCATTTAGATTTTATTTATTAGTACAACAAAAAAAAATCATCCAAATTGATAAAATTTTTTATTTAGATTCAATTCAATAATCGGGTGGGGTTTTTTTTCATTCAAATCAAGTAATCATCATCATCATCGTCATTATCATTCTTAAGGTGTGTAAATGTGTGTTATATTAGGTGTATTATTGTCATGTTTACACTTAACAATTGTAAAAGCAACAAATCAATTTGTCAATCGAAAAAATGAAATCACAGACATACACATTTCACTTGAAAAAATTTTTGGTTTGCAATAACTAAGACACAATCAATGAGATGATGTGACATATAAAGTTTTTTGTTGTGTTTTTTTTTATCATTTCAATTTGTTTGATTGAACTGGATTCTTCAATCGATCATTTTTTTGTTTCATGATTTTCGTTTTTCTTTCAACAATAAATTGATTTGTTTTTTTTTCTCTTTCTCCAACTTTTAGGTATTCAAATTGACAATTTTGTATTGATCGAATAACATACATACATACATACACACACACACACACACGCCACGGGCACGACAACATTAAAAAATGATGTCAACAAAAACAACACAAGAAAATTGTACTGAATCAAATTATCTAAGCCATGTATTGACATTAACCGATCGAATATCTGAACCGGCACGTGATTGGATACAATTTTTATTCGATAAATATGAATCAAATTTTGATCGAACATCAGCTATTTGTTCGGAAATATTATCACTAATGATATTGACAATGGGCTGTTTCTGGCTAATTGGCTCATTCTATACATTATTGGATTATTTTCAATGGCCAAAATTTCTATATCGTTATAAAATACAAGATGATAAACAAGTATGTATGTCTGTGTGTCTGTATGTCTGTGTTTTATTCTTATGAATTTCTTATGAAATCTTTTTTCTCATTTTCTTATAGATCACATTGGATGATATTATTGAAACGGCAAAAGTAGCATTCTATAATCAAATTACCGTACAATTATTGACAACAGCATTGGGATCTTTGATAATGAATAATTTACCATTCGACAGAAATTATCGTGTGCCTCCAGTATCGACAATTATTTATCATTTAGTTGTTTTTGTATTTCTACAGGAGATCACATTTTACTACTTACATCGTTTACTTCATTATAAATTCTTTTATCGTTTTATTCATAAAATTCACCATAAATGGCAAGCACCGATTGCTATATCAGCATTATATTGTCATCCATTTGAACATTTTTTAGCCAATCTTGTGCCTGTACTAATTGGACCATTTTTAATGCTTAGCCATCGTAGTACGATTTCAATATGGCTATTGATTGTTCATATTGTTACATTGAATGATCATTCTGGTTATCATTTTCCATTGATGCCATCACCAGAATTTCATGATTATCACCATTTAATGTTAGTATATATATCCTTTATAATATATATCAATCACTTGATCAATAATGAACAAATATTTTTTTCTTTTATCATTTTCATACTTACATCCAAACAAATTGAACAGGTTCAATCAAAATTTTGGTCGTATGGGATTTTTAGATTATTTTCATGGTACAAGTGAACGTTATTTTAAATCAAAATATTCAAAACGACATCAAGTACTACTTAGTTTGACACCAATGAAAATATTGATACCAGATAATGATTAATCTAACAAAATCAATCAAGATTTTATTATTATTATTGTTTTATTTATAATATATATTACATTTATCAAATTGTCAATTGTGTTTCAGTTAAAAAACAATCTAATCCAACAAAACGTGAAATGTTTCACTTTATTGATGTGTAAACATACATACACACATAAACAGACACACAACATTATTCTTCCAAAGATTTTAATATATATATTTGTTATATTATTATAAACGATCAACAAAGTATTTTTGTTTTTTTTTTCTTTTTTTCATTCATGAATATTTTGTTATGGCTATTTTTTTCAGAATAAAGAAAAAAAAACTTATTCATTGAAAAAAAACCACTTGTTGTTGTTGTTGCCAGGGGCTCATGTGTGAATAACAAAATACCTATCTATTGAAATCAATGATGACGTGAAAATCAATCATCATGATGATGATGATGAAAATGATCAAAAAAAACAACAACAACAACAATCTCCTTTTTTTTGTATGATGTTCTTTTTTATTTTAAATTCAAGGAAAATCAACACATCAACAATTAATAACGTATATATATTGAGAAGATAAGACTGATAAACTACAGGATGATTAGTAAGAGATTAATACGGTACAGCACATATGAATGTTAATTTTCTTGAATACAAAAGTCAACAATACCGTTTTGACTAAACAAATAACACACAATGATGATGACGATGATTCAGGGACACTGGCATCTATGCATCTCATTATTAATTCAAATTGAATTTTTTTTTTGTTTTGATCCTTGAATAATGAGAAAAAAAAATAAAGAAAAAGTTTAATTAGAATTTGAAGATGAGATGGTGGTAAAAACCACACAATGCACACACACACACAGAGAGGTTTTTTTTCATTATCGATAAACCATGATGATGGTAGTGTTTGTGTGTGTGTGTGTGTATGCTGCTGCTGCTACTTACCAAAATGTAAAAGAAAAAAAAAAACCTCGTCTATTTTTTTCTGAATAAATAAAAAGCCAAAACCATCCATTCCATTCATTTTTTTTTTTTTTAGTTTTTACATTCAAAAAATTGATCAAATTCAAATCGATTCATCATGAAATCAATCAACTGTTCAATAATAATTGGTTTATTATTCATCATGTGTTTATGGTCAACAATTTTCATTGTAATAGTGGATGTTCATCAATTGAATTCATCAGATTTTGGCCGTATTGTTGATCATCCACATCGTGATGGATCAAAGTCCAAACAAATTGTCATGAATAATGGCCATTGTTTACCATTGGTTGCATTTGGTACATGGCAATTGGGCAATAATAGTGTTGTGAAACGAGCCATAAAATCGGCTATAACCAATGGTTATAGATTGATTGATACAGCAGATATTTATGGTAATGAACAAATGATTGGTGATATTCTACAAGAATTATTCAAAGAAGGAATCATAAATCGTGATGATTTATTCATAACAACAAAAGTTTGGTGTAATCATTTTTCCAAATCAAGTGTCATCAAAAGTATACAACAATCGATGCAAAAATTAAAAGTTTCCTATATAGATCTAGTGTTGTTACATTATCCAACTGGTTTCAAAGAAAATGATGATCAAGATAAATATCCAAAATTTAAAAATGGTTCCATTATACCACGAACATGGAAAAAAGATTCATATTTAGAAACATGGGAATCAATGGAACAAGCCATACGTAATAATTATACACATTCAATTGGTGTATCAAATTTTAATCGTAGACAAATAAAAACATTACTTTCAAAAGCAACAATAAAACCGGTTATTAATCAGGTAATATAATCTAATCAATATGCAAATATATAAAAAATGAATTTCATTCAAATTTTTTTTTTATTACAGGTTGAAAGTCATCCAAATTTGAAACAAAAATTATTATTAAAATATTTGCTTGAAAATCAGATTATAATGCAAGCATATGCACCAATAAGACGTGCAGATAAAGAATTATTAAATGATCCACGATTGATCGCAATTGGTGAAAATCATAATAAAACTAGTGCACATATTGCATTACGTTGGCAATTACAACGTTCAGTACCGATTGTTGTGAAAAGTTCAAATCCAAAACGAATAAAATCCAATATACAATTATTTGATTTTCAATTAACCAATGATGAAATGAAACAAATTGATATGATTGATGAAAAACAACGTATATATGATATAAATGGACTAACTAATCATCCAGATTATCCATTCAATGAAGAATAAAATGAAATGAAAATTGAAAAAAAAAATCCACAAGAATAAATGTTTGTCTTGTATACATAATTTTTCAATTATATTGGACAAATATTTGCTTAAAAAAAAACAGCAGCAACAGCAAAAATCATTGAATCAAATTGACCTTAACTTATTTTATTCGATTTGGTCAGTTTTTTTGTAATTTTTATTCTGGTAACCACGCACACCAACACAATGACCATCATTTTTTTTGTTTTGTTTTGTTTCCAAACATAATTCCATAAATGTCCATTTGTCATTTAAATACTAATGATAATAATAATAAAAAAATTTCTGGCCAATTATAATCACGTATCTTGAGATTTTTTTTTCTGGTTTTTTTGGTCTTGGGTTTCAAAGGTTATTATAAAGACTCCATGGTCAATGTTATGAGTAAATGAACAATCACCAGCAGAGAAAGATTTTTTTTTTTTGGGTTGTACGCAATAATAATTTTTTTTTTGTTTCACAATGTTCATTTTAATCAAATTTCATCATTCATTCTATCTATTCATTTATTACTATTAGAAAGATAGACAGACACAATCACTCACCACTCATCATTGGTCTTTGTCTTTTTTTTTATTTTGTCAAATTTAGTTCATAACAACAACAACAACAACAACAACCAGTCAAAAAAATAAAAGCCAACTAATAATAATTGTGAACCAGCAAAAAAAAAAATTTGGTTGGTTGGTTAGTTAGTTGGTCCACTTTTGCCTTCGATTCTAATATATTTTATTATGTGGATTTTCAGAATCTATCTCTCTTTGTTCTAATAATAATAATAATAATAATATTCTGTCATTTATTCATTGCGTGATATCCATATTGAATTAGTAGTTGTATATATAAAAAAAACCATGTATATTCATATAAAATATAGAATTATTCTGTCCATAAAAAATGTATATGCGTGTGTGTGTGTGTGTGTGTGTAAAGTCATGATAATCTAATAAGAATAATGAAAACAAAAAAAAAAAAATTTTCACTATTCACCAAGGTATATTATCATCATTGGAAAAATTATCGTTTGATCCAAAAAAAAAAAAAAAAAAATACTGTCCGATCATCATCATTTGTAGTTGTATATGGAAAAGGTGTGTGTGTGTGTGTGTGTGTGTGTGTTGCGTTTATATCTTTCTATCTATCTACACATTAATTATAATGCAAACTTTTTGCTGTTGTTGTTGTTGTTATTGTTGGTTGGTTGGTTTGTTTGCCACAAAACAAAACTCTATTATCTGATGATAGTCTTCTTCTTCTTCTTCTTTTTTTTATTCATTGAAAATGACAACAGCAACGAACAAAATGATTGAACAAGAATCGTAGGAGGATATCATCATATATATAATATTGCACTCTCGGTACACACACACATATTTAGTCCGGTCGACCAGATCAATTGGTTAAATGAATTTACAATTTGATCAGGGTTCGATTGTTCGTCCATCCGTTATTTGTTTGTTGTGTGGCGAAATCATCAGCTATTTCCACACACACACACAAACAAACAAACAAATCACTATCGATTGTGATGATCATCATATATTTGTTTGTTGTTGTTGATTGATTGATTGATAAAATTTTTTTTTTTTTTTTTTGCATTAAACAATCGATTGTTTGAAAATAAAATGTCATATTGTGCTGTATATTTGAATCGAATTCATCGTGAAAAAAATCTACCGGAAAAACCAGAAGATCCATTAATATTGGAAAAATCAATACCATATGATGCTGAATTTACATTCATCGATTTTGTTCCATCAGTATTAACATATTCATCTAGTGCACATCATCAAGTTGAATATCATCGATTCAGGTATTGTATTGTAATTTTCATTCTCTCTCTCTTTTTTTTTGTATTTTGTACAATTGATTATTGATTAGTTTAATAATATCATCATCATTATATTGATATTAGTCATCTGATTGATACGGCCAATAATTGGTTGGATAAAAATTCACATTGGAATATAATCAATTGTGAAACGGTACGTTTATCTTATCGTCATAATGTCACTTCAATGGTTAGCCGTTGGGAACAACAAATCAATCCGGTAACACCATTATGGAGTCCAATATCACGTGGTGAATTTGAAACTTCATTGAAAGCTTTTCGGTAAGTGAAAAAAAAATTTTTCATAACAATATTATTATTCAAATCGATCTATTGATTGATTGATTGATTGATTGATTATAGATTATGGATACGACGAAAAGATAAATTTGATAGTGATTATTATAATAATAACAATGATGATATCATGTTCAATGATAAATTCAGAAAGCTAAAACATTTGGATTTTATACCAAAACGTTTGAATGAAAATTCATTCGAAACAATCGATCAATTATTGGAACGAGTTAATGGTCGATTGAAACAACCAGATACACTTTTTTGGAATATAATCACATTGGAATCATTGAAAATTGAAGCAAATAGTGAATGGTTCATTGATCCGGAAATCAGTTTGGCCGATGAAAGTTCTAGACATTTAACAATTTTACGATTATTTTATGAACAATATAAATCCGGTGATGATATGAATGCAATAATTTTGGAAGAAAATGATGATTACCCATATACAGTGATTGGAATCGAAGATTTTAAACCAGAACTTCTTTCGGCTGGCAGTTTTTTTAAACGGCCAGAATTTGAACCATTCTGTTCATTAACACAACGTGCTAGCCGATGGTTGAATAGTCAATATGTGGATTATTTTTTAAACGCACAATCGATCGATATTAAAATTAAATCTCGTAAGTTTTCACCATCATATATATATGAGCGGCGATAGACTGACTTTTTTGTTTCTATCTTCATATATAGCTTCTAAATTGGAGACAAGAAATTGTACCAACATTGAACATGGTCATTATATACAATTTTTACGCATTGTTTATTGCAAATTATTGCCTAGAATCAACAATAATGATTCAGAGACTATTATTAAACGGCCAAAATCAACACATGAACAACAACAACAACAACAACAGCAAACAACGAATCAATCATCATCATCATCATCATCAGATAATAATATTATACAGCTTTGTTCAAAAGTTTTTGTTGCAACTAAACTTGATCATCCATTGGATTCAATGCAGCAAAGAATTTATAATTGGCTTCATCATCAAGATAATAATCAACAACAAAATGTTTGTATACTTGGTGCAGAAACTATCAATGTTTATGGTAAAGATGATGATGAAAAAGTATTGGAAAAGAAAACATCCGATTGTTTTTATGGTAATCGTCTTGGTTCATTAAATACATTTACATTCAAAGCAATACGATTATATTATTGTCAAATACCGATTATTGGCGATAATGATCATGATGATAATGATTTCATTGATAAAGATAGTAGAGCCAAATATTATCGTTGTACAGGTAAAACATTTCAAAGGAAAAAATCCCGAAATTTTACTTATAGTAATAGTAATAGTAATAATAATAATCGTGAGAAATCATTACAACGTAAAAATAGTAAATTAAAAATTATTCATTCAAATTCATTCAGAATGAATAATGTAACAATAAAACAATCATCAATGAATGAAAAATTGGATGAAAAAGAATCAAATAGAATAGGTTTTATTAAAAGTTTAAGACGATCAAAAAGTCATATACAGAATCATCATTCTACATCCTGTAATTGTATGTGAATTTTTTTTTTAAATTCATTTCAATGAATTTTTTTTTGTCAAACACACACACACATGCGCACACAGAGAGATTGTTTATTACCAATAATAATTAGATAATTAGATTTTGATCTATATGTACGGAACAAAACAAAATTTTCAAACAAACAAACAAAAAAGAACAATCCAAACACATTGTTGAACCGAATTTAAATACCATTTTTTTTTCATCCAATTTTCCATCCATGTATGTTTTATCAAAAAAAAAAAAAAAATCATCTGACATCATGTTTTTGATTTATTTGTTATTTTTAATAATTACAATGAATTTATTTGATCGTTCGGTATGTGTTGTGCATATTTATTCATTGATTGATTGATTGATTGATTAATTTATACTGGATATATTTTTTAAAAACAAAATTACTCTATAGATGATGATTAAATCGATTCATTGTGAATATGTATTGCTTACTGAATATCAATCATTAAATTTATCTTGTAAAATTTTCAATCATTCATCATCATCATCGATTACCATTGTTAATTGGTATAAAGATCAAAAATTAATTATAGATTCATCATTGTCGCCAAATAATTATAATCGAACAAAATTTCATTTAATCAATCAAAATGATTCAATTATAATATTAAATTTATTGAAAGCTAAACCTATTGATGTTGGTGATTATGAATGTCGTCAAATAATGTTATTGGATTTAAATTCTACAAAAATTCTTCATATACATCGTTTTGCTGTTAGAGCTAAACCAAGAATTCGATCAGAATTATTTGGTAAAAATGTAATTTCACAAACAGTATGGGCCAATGAAGAATGGCGAATGAAATGTTCATTTGTTTCGAAATATCATCAAATCAATTCTACATTGGATATTGTTCGTATAGAAGAAGTAGATGATGATCATCATCATCATAATAATGGTAATGTTGGTGGTGGTTATATTTTCTCATATGATAATTATACAAAAATTAAAAATAAAACAAAACAATGGTTACATCGAAACAATGATCGTGTCCAAATTCAACTATATAATATGGTGATGGCCAAACAGCAACAATCATCAGATAATAATAATAATAATAATCAAACCGTAATTGAATTGAAAATATCAAATGTAAATTTTAAAGATCGTGGTTATTTAGGTTGCATTGGTATCAATCCAGTGGCTAATGATAATTTATTAATATTATTACGTGTTAATGATAGAATTCGTATCCTATGTCCTATTATTGTGATTATTACATTATCATTATATTTATTTACTATAATCACCATTTATGAATATCGTCGAATCAGTCCATTTAGTCTATTACAATTGGATTAAAAGCTGTGTGTACAGTACATACAGATATACGACAATAAAAAAAAAACAACAACAACCTCTCACTCTCTCTTTTTACAATTCTTCAATTCTGATTGAAAATATCGACCATCACACATGTTTCGTTTTTTTTTTTGGTCACACAATTTGACTTTATGATATAGGCGTGATGATATAGTTGGTTGAGGTAGTGGAACTGATCCATTCTGGATCACCACCAATGGATGAATCATCACAATAAGAATCGTAACACATGTCTATATATATATGTAGTAATGAATGATAGTGGTTAATGGGGAAAAAAATCCAGATTCAGAATGCTGGGTACCTTGTGATGAGCGCAAACACACACACACACACACACATAATCATCAAAATAGTGAAAAGATAACAGTAAAAAAAAAACCAACACAAAAATAAAACACACAATAACATAAGTAAAACATTGATAATGTGTACTTATGGTTTTTTTTTCTCTGAAATCGTCTTGATGATTAAATTTTGTCCAACACAACAATTGTATATTGATATCATTGACAATTTTTTTTTGTTATCAATGATTTTTTCTGTCTCTGTCTCTGTTATCACTGGTTAAATACCATTTTTTTTTACTTTCTTATTTGGCGATATCATTCATTTTCGCATTGGGTGATTATTAATCACACACACACACACACACACACACACATATCAATGTTAAAATTCAATGATAATCAAAATCGATACCATTTGAGATTTAATACGACTTTGTGTTACATGTGTGTTGTTAATTCTGTGTTGTGTGATTGATATAGTTTTTTTTAGCAAGGATAAAAAAAATGATGATGATGATGATGATGATGTATAAAGACCAGGCAAAAGTTCGTGTTCTCATCACATACATCATATCATGGCTATTTGTTGCCAATTTTATAAATGCTTTTGATCTATCCGCTATAATTCGCCAACCAGAACCTACAGGTATGTTTGATTATTTGTAAATGGAATTTTTTTTTATTGAGAAAAATTTTTATTTTTATTTTCTATAGAACCAATTTTCGGTGCTGAAATCAATATCGGATCGGTGGAAATAAATGATCCAAAATGTGACAAAGCAATCACACCATATTTACAAGAATGTAAAGATATCTATCATGAAAAGATTACCAATGTTGCATTAGAGTTTGGCAGTAATTTTCAGACAGAATCGGTGAAAAAAACCTCTTGCTGTGGTATTTGGGAAGCAAAACAATGTGCAATCGATGCTGCCAATAAATTGGATGAATGTGGCCATAATATAAGTGCACTTTATGCAAGTTTACCTTCTGATCCAAAAATACGTGACGATGTTTTTGACAAATGTTCTGAATATCGTGAACATTCTGCCATTTGTAGGCCACAATCATCATCATCATCGTCAATGTTTAGTTTACATACATTAATATGTTTTATTGTGATAACCTTATTCATAACTGTTTGTGCATTGATTTTGGCCAAAGTATTGAAAAGACGGATGTAAGTACACACACACACACGCTTTCATCGCCAAGAGAAACGCCATAGAATTTTGAGATCAACAAAAAAAAATGTCTCAATGTTTTTTTTCAATGGCACAATGCTTTTAAAAAAAACCAGGGTTAATCATTTTTGTTTTGTTTCTAACTCATTTTTTTTTAATATCATCTTCCAAACAAACAATATAATCATATATCTCCTAGGCGGCAAAACAAAAGAAATCAATCCAATCATGAATCATACGACATGGTGGTGGCGGTGGCCACCAAACAAGATTTTAAAAATACCAAAGATGACGATTTTGAAAGTAATGACGATGAATAATGGACAACAGAAAAAAAAACATTTACACGATGATGTGTGTTCAAAACAAAAGCAACCAACGACAAAACCAAAAAAAAAACAACACCGGTGAATTTTTGTTCCTTTTACATGTTTTTATAATCGATTTTTTTGACGATTAATAAAATTTTTTTGCATTTTAATTTTTTTTTCAATTATCAAAATGTGTTTATTATTATTATTATTATTATTATGCAGATAGGCAAAAAAATGATGAAATGAAATGAAATGGAAAAAAAATGAAAATTAACAAAACAGAAAAAAAATGAAAAATAATTAATAAATAAATAAAAATCACAGAAATGAAAATATAAATAATTTTTTTTTTGCAAGGTAAAGGGAAGTTGTGAGAGAATGATGATGCTAAAAAAAGGGTTCAGATGAAAGAATGGGCATTCGAACAAATAACAATATGGCTTTTGTTGTTGTTGTTGTTGTTGTTTTCAGTCGAAAAAAAAATTAAAAAGATTAAGTGATGAGTATATTAAATGGCAAATGAAATTTTCGTTTTTGGGGGGGGTGGTGGTGGTTGAAATCACGATATTTTTCGAGGGTATAATTGGATAAATCAAATTTTTAATCATAATGAAGATAATTCATCCGCTGAACAGGATAATGTGGCTAGATTATCTTCACTATCGGCATTGAATGGAAATAGATCTGTATATGAATCAATCATGATTTGAACAAAATTCATTAAATGTGGCCGTTTTTGTTCAAATAGATCCATGTTGGTAAATTCAAATTGTAATAATGTTGGCCACCAACAAATGGCTAAATTTTTACTATCCATACTGTTTTCTGAACTTTTTTCTGTGATTCTGAATGGTGGAAAAAAAAAAAAAAAAAATTATAGGTTTTAACATGAAGGCGTCTTAAATAAAACTTACTTGACAAAATGTGAGATCATATGTTTAAGAATTTCAAAATTTGAATTTGGTAATTCACGTAGAAATGTACGCATTTCAGATAGCTGTCCAATATCAGTATATTGTTTAGCTAGATTGGCAATATTAGCCATAGAATCGGATGGAAAAATCGGTGGTAAACGTTTGAGAAAAAAATCTTTCAATGCTGTTGCAACGGCATTGACTGGAATGTCTAGATCAGCAATATTTATATCGGGATCTAGAATTACGATAAAAAAAAATTATATTCAACATGATGACATAAAAGAATACCAAAAACTCTAAACTTACTTTCATCAAATTTCAATAAAAGTGTATCAACATGAGCACGATTGCCTGGAACACGATAGATTCCTTCCATATCAAGACCCTCTTGTTCGATGAACTGTATACATTTTTCAATGAACAATGGCACTGGATTGCCATTTTGTTGAGCAAAATCTTCCAATGATGAATGTGTTCCTTTTGATCGGCTACGATTACGGCTTGAATTATTATTATTCTCTTTAATACTTTTACGTTGTTTTCTTTCCTCTTCTTTCATTTTTTTCCTTTCCATTTTTTCTTTTTTTCTTATGGATTTCTTATCAAGTTCTGGAAATGTTCCAATCGATTTACTTTTAAGGAATTTTGCCTTTTCACCATTGCTATTATTATTATTATTATTATTACTATTTTGGCCACTGGTTTTTGATGCTATAACAAGATTGGAAAAGTAAGAAAAAAAGAAAAAAAATTAAAATCAATTGGAATCCAATCACAAAAAGGGCCATTCAAACAACAAAATATTTGATAATAAATAAATATAAATCAATCAAAAAAAAAAACAAAAAATGAGCAGTAATTTTCCATGCAAACCAAATGTAAAATGGACATTCCAGAGAAAACAAAAAATTATTTCAATCCTCTTACCAGCGATTGCAGCAGCAGCAGGATTGATACTATGACTAATGCTGGTTTCTTCTGAACCAGCATCAATACTATTATCATCGATACTGATTCCGGATTCATTATCGGCGGGTAATGAAAATAATTTGGAAAATTGATGCCAACGTGTTCGCCGTAATTCACCAGAATCCATACTGATTTTGCCATCATTACCATTTGTTGTATCGATGAATGTATTATCCTGATTATTATTATTATTATTAATGCTGCCGCTGTTAACCATTGTTGTTGTTGTTGTTGTTGTTGTTATATTAAGTGATTTATTATCATTGATGATTGAATTATTATCATCATACGAACTAAACGATGTGAATGATTTACCAACACCAGAACTGGTGGGCGTTACAGCATTTGAACTATTTGCACTTGATGGTAGACGTGGTGGTGCAACCGGTACCGGTGTAATTCGACGAGATTTTTTATTCTGTGTCTTTTTATTACTACTACTACCACTATTATTATTATTATTGGAACTATTCTGTCTTAATGGGCCAATTGTACTTGGCTGTTTTAAGCTATTAAATTTAAGTCGTTCATTTAGATTGATCATTTCTGTTGTTTGTTGTTCATTATTTATATTTATTATTATTTGTTGAATCACTAACATCACTTTCAGAATCGTTATCTAATCGTTTTGTATATTTTTTACGAAAAAATCGTATAATTGAATGATAAATAGTCAGTAAAAATAAAATATAAAATAAATAAATTACCTTTAGTAGACAATGAATGTTTAATGGAAATTCGTTCCCGTTTATTAAGCAAAATTCTTGAATCATCAAATATAGCCATTGGTTTCTATAAATGTAATGTTTATAACATTTATTAAATGGATTTTTAAAACCATCCATCTTATATATACTATATCTTACCGATATGTCATCAAATGTTGAATGACTTGATCTAGTAGTTGGTCCCAAGGGTGAATGTAAATTTAATCGGCCAATTGCATCAGAAAGATTATTGTATTTCTTTATATCAATTTTACCAGGAGCCTGATCAAAACAAAACAAAAATCTCTTGAGAATATTTGACACAGACCATTTAAAATACTATATATAATACCTTTGACCGTTCACTAGATGTTGAATTTTCATCATTGTTATTATTATTATTAGTAATAGTAGTAGTAGGAACATGCTGTACAATCGACGATGATGATGTTGATGATGGTGGTGGCCATTGATCTAACATTGATCGATTATGAATAGAAGCAATATTAGTTGGTGATCGGTTATTATTATTATTCTGATTCTGATTCTGATGATAAGCCCATCCAGATATAACGGCAAATTTATCTGCAGTTGCATTTAAATTTTCATCAGCTACAATAGGAGACAACAGAAAATTATGAGAATTATTAGAATTTTTCCTTCGAAAACAAAAATAAATCATTCATAGGAAAAAAAACTACAAGGAATTGCAAATAGGAAGCACTTAGGTTTCAAGGTTTTAAAAATCATATCACGATTTTTATGTGCGTGTATGTATGTTAGGTATATTCGGAGCTTTTGGAATCAGGGAATAAGCAATCGAATATTATAAACATATAATACCACTACTAGTATCGGATGACACACATGATTCATGACCATCTTCATCATCGATGACAACATCATCATTATCATTATCTTCATCATCATCATTTATATCATCATTGACATTATTTGTTTGAACCATTGCCATTTCCGATTCATAATTATCATTATTGCCAGTCAATGTTTTTGTATCATCTAACGAATTTAGATTTCCACTACTTCTAGTTTTATTAACATCTTTATTTGATTTGGAATCAATATCTCGATATAATTTCGATGATCGATTCAATGATCGTTCATCCGTTTTACGATTACGATGTCTTGTTCTATTCAATAATGATCGTGATGATGATTTATCTTTGCCATTATCAAACATTAATTTGGATGATTGATGATGTCCATCATCATCATCGTGGTTATCATCATCGTCGTCATCTTCATCTTCTTCATCGGCTGTAGCCATTCTATGTGACAAAGATGATGATCGTGTTTTGAATGAATGTTTCTTTTTCTTTTTTTTATTCTGTAATTTACAATGAAGTGATAATCGTTCATCGTCCAAATATTGCGACAATTCCGATGATGTTGTTGTCGATTGAAATGCGGATTTATTTCTCAGAATATTTTGTTGTTGATGATAATGAAAATGAGGTGAACGAGAAAATTGTTGTTGTTGTTGTTGTGATGGATGAAAATGACGGCCAGTTGTAGCATAAATTAATTGAGAATTTCTTGTATGAACATCATTAGGCATTAGAATTGAATGATTGGCTGTAGAATGATGTTTATCATTAAAATTTGTAGTAAATGATGATGATGATGATGATTGTTGATGAATTCGGAATGTTGAATATAATTCATGATGATGATGATGAACTTGAGACTGTTGTAATGGTAATGGTGGTGGGTAATATTTCCTTTGATAATATGCTAATGTATTTGGTTCTAACGGTGGTTCTTCTTCATTATGATGATGATGATGATAATAATTTGAATATAATTGATTCGAATCTAGATCATCATTATTCATTTCAAATTGATAATGTTGGGCATGTATTTTATAAGCAGGCGGTGGTGATATAGCAATTCGTGAATAAGGTGGTGGATTATGATGATGATGATGATGATGATTACGATTTGTTGGTATCATAACATGTGCCGATGATGCTGGCCTCGGTGGTAATGATTCAATGGTACGATCAATAAAATTACTATGACCATCACTAGCAATCATATGACTACGTTGAACTGAAGGACGATAAACATAATGAGCTGGCAAATGTGTCGTTGTATTTGTTATTATGTCATTGTCATCATTATTATTATCAACATGATGATGATGATGATGATGAACATTACTACCATCACCATCACCAAAATAATAATGTGAATGTTGATAATGTGAATCTAATGCATAGATTCGATCTAATGAATCAGCACTTGGATATGATTGTAAATTATAGTCTTTTGTTTGATTTGCAGCAAATAAAAACACACACACACACACACACACACACATTATCATTCAATACAATTCACAATTGTAATGAAATTGATGGAAAAAAAAGGAAAGATAAAAAAAAAAGATTGACGCCAACAAAAAAAAATCAAGAAAATTATAGTGTTTGAAGGTGGAAATAGAAAAAGAAAAGAAATAGAAAAGAGAAACAAGAATAGACAAGAATAGTAAAGAGATATAATAATGACACATATAAAAAATACAATCATCATTAAGTATAAATATAAATGAATGTAAAATGATAATCAAGAAAAAGAATTGTCCAAAAAAAAAAAACCATTACTTACAATTATGATTGTTGTTCATATGTTGTTTACGTTGTCGTATCATTTCAGATGGTTTCAATAAATGTTCACCAGTTGTTGTTGTTGTTGTCGTCGTCGTTGTTGGTATTGCTGTTGTTGTTGTTGTTGTTTCATTTGCATTAAAAAGAGGATTCAAAAAATGTGGTATATGTTCCATTTGTTCTTGTATTGCTACTATTGATGATGATGATGAATCTAAAATATCATCGGGTGAATATCGTTTCGTATGTGTTTGTGACCACGATGTCTGACTAGAAATGATGATGGATATTCATTAGAATGTAGTTTATTCGTTGATGATGATGATGATGGCTGATGAATTTTAGACAATTGTTGATCTTCAGGTAATTTTTCATAAATACTATCAGCTAATAATTTCGATGGTGATTCACAATGATCATTCAAATGTGTCTGTTGTTGAATTATTGATTCAAAATTTGCATCACCAGGATTCGTGCCAATAAAACAATCATCAGCCGACGATTGTGGATCGAATTGATTTTCAATTCCAACAACATTTGTAGTGGCGGTGTTTGCAATTTGAAGATTCTTTTCAATAAGATGTTTATTTTGTAGACAATAATTAAGAAATGATGAGATACATTTTGCCATTTCGGAACCAAGTGTTGAGATTCGAAAATGTGCCTGCAACAACAAAAAAAACAGAGAATCGATTAATCATCATCTATCGATGATAAATTCAAAAATAAATTTTACCTGTAATTGATCGGCCAATTCTTTTCCTTTGGCCACTAATTGATGTGAAAGTTTGCTAGGTCTAAGTTCATTTTCAACTAATGCTAGAATATGTATGGGCATCAATGAAGCTGTGATCGAAGCCAATGCTGACATATTTGCAAATGAAGCTTGTCGTTTTGACCAATAGACTAGAATATTTCCATAAAATAATTCTTCTTTGATCGTATATGAACTATGATAAGAGGAGACAACAAATTCAACATAACAACTTGGTATTTCATGTTGATTCAATGATAGATTATTATTATCATTATTTTCATCATCAATGGATAATAGAAAACCAATGTCAGTAACAAATGAATGATCGGATACTGGATAGAAATTTAAATTTGCTAAACCATCCATAAGAATTAATGATTCGAGAAAACGAGCAGGTGATAATGGATCACCACACATTAACGATATTAGTATTCGAATCTCTGGATTCAAGGCACCTTCTGGAATGGAATGATTTGATAGTAATGAATTATTCGGGCCGCCATAAATATGGCTCATTTCAGCTCGCCGTATTAATGATTCACTTAAGAAAATTAATGCTCGTAATAGTTCATCTGATTTAAATCTTGCATGTGGTTCATTACTGGTGACATCAAAAAATGCACATTGTAAACATTGTGAACGATTAGCGCCTTCTTCACGTAGATAGTTTCGTTCTTTGGCCGATGTATCAGGAGTACAAGCTAATAATAGTACTAAAGGAAGACCAGTTGGATGAAGATTACCATATTGTAAATCGGCTAATAATGAATGTTCTAATGTTTTAAATAAAAAATCTAATGATGCACGTGAAGAATATACACAAAGATAAGCTTCCGATTGTAATGGATTGGCAAATGGACGAATGGTAATAATGTTTGATGATTCATTACTTGGCATTGTTTCCATTTCATAATGGACTCGAGGATTTTCTTGTTCAAGTGAAGGACACATTGCCTATTTTCAAAAATAAATGTGAATTCATTAAAATGATGATAATAAAATGGTAACATTTCATTCATAATAATAATTGGAAATATATAACTTACTTTAACCACAGTGGCTAAATTATCAGCATATGTCGATGAACCAAATACAATGAATTTGATTTGAATTTTTTCTAAATCATGATTCCAAAATAAATTCCGAGGATTACGTTTGGCCAATGAAGCATGATAAGCTTCGATATTTAAATCCACACAAGTTTGTCCAGCTGAACAATGTTCTTTAATTGGCCATTGTAGAAAGCCAAGATGTCGTATTAATGCTAGTTGACGATCCTGTGGAATCAAATCTAATGTTAGCCATCGGTCATCTTTGGATAATTCATGTGATATAGCGGCCAAATCTTCTTGTGTCAATGTTTTACCGGTAGAGAATTGTAAAAATAATGATACTCTTTCCAGAAATAATTCATTCAATTGATCACGAGCATCTTGTTGTAGTATTTTTTGATATTCATCATAAATTAATTTCAATTCTGATTCTGGTAATGATTCAACACATTCACGACCTTTTAATTGATCACGAATTTCTCTGAGCGGTTGTCCAGGCACCACTGATGTTTCCCGTAGTAATTCACTAAATTGATAACGAAGACTACGTAAATGGTCTTCAGCCAATAATGTTGCCAAATGATCTAGATATGATTTTTCTGCTTCAGGTGTTTGTAATAAATCAAATGGTATACGTGTTTCATTTGTATCATCCATTTCTTGCCATGAAAGACTTTCATTGAGCACAAAATTATTATCAAACAATGGATGTTGATGAAGAATTTGTTGTACAGCTAACCAGCTACGATCATGACCAAAACTTTCTAGATCTGGTAACATTTCACTAAATAATTTTGGTAAACGTCTTAGATACATGTCAATTTTACGGCAAACATATTCTTCTTTTAATTTTTTAACATGTCTTTTAAATGTTTGTTGAGCACTTTCCTGTCCAAATAGATCACAATAAGTAATAAAATCTTGACTTTGCGATAGATTTGAATAAGTATTATTCCAATGGATACGATAATCGGTTATATTTGATTTGATTAATGTTAAATAGGCATCATTGACAATTTCTAGGCGATCCTGTTGTCTTTGGAATGCTTCATGATATGAAAGAATTTTTGTTTTACCTTTGGTCCAATCACGTTGTACACAGGCCCAGAATGCCATATCAACATTAACATTATCATGAGCACTTGTTTCGACTAGTGGTATTAATCCTTTGAATTCACGTCGATTGACTAGTTTTTCTGCTTCACGTACATAACGTTCAGAATATTCATCATTTTTGTTGTTGCCAATACAACTGGTTTTTTTGTTTTCAGTAATGAATTCAATATTAATGCCGTCAATTCGATTTGTCTTTCAATGGTACGGCCTTGAATTTGACTGACATCAAATACACAGATAAATCCATCAACATTGAATTTACCATCAGGTAGATAATGTTGTTCATATTCTTTTTCAATACCTAATTGATTCTTACAGATGTACATTAATTTTTCCGCTGAATTCAATCTGGTAGCTGCACAACGTTTATGATATAATTCGATTGTTTTGCCCGAACGAAATGGCTGAAAACAAGCATCATCAACAAATTCAGTCTGTTCTACAATACTGAATGTTAATTCAAAACCTTCATCGGTGCATTTTCTTGTTTCACCCCAATATAACCAATGTTCATTGTTGACAATTGGTCCACTAAAATCTGGCTGTGATAATATCGATATATGATCACGATTATATTCATCAGCTTGTGGCCGTATAAATCGATTACAAAGACATGATTTACCAACACCGAGACAGCCTTTTTCTTTTTCAGTACCAGATAATCCAACAACCGATATACAAAACATACGTCCACCACCACCACCACCACCATAATGTCCACCAGTGATCGTATCGAATGGTCGTCGATGATCATGATGATGATGATGATGATGATGATCATTTTTTCGTGACATTTCAATATTTCAACAACAAAAACTTTTGTTATTTTTTTGTTGAAATAGATGATGTTTTGTTTTTGAAAATTTATTCCACTATGTAAATTGTGATGATGTTATTATTGATCGACGAAAAAAAAAAAATAAAATAAAACATTATGGTTGAGAGAGATGTGGTTTATGAATTTTTTTTTCAACTTTCGAATCATCACATTATCATATATTTTGGGATTTTTGTTTCCCACTCAGCTTCTTGAATAAATCATAAGAATAAAAGCCACATACGAGATATATATAAAAAAAAAGTTTATCATCAAGAATCAAAAATAAAAACCAAGAATAAAAGAATAAATGTCAAATGAAATTATAAACAAGTTTTATATTATATATATGGATTATATATGTTGATGATGAGCAGTATATATGGAATTGGTGAATGATAAAAAACAACAACAACAACAGAATTTTATATTCTCTCTATGTTGTCAGATGAAATAAAAAAAATATGGATCGATGTAGAAGAAACGATGAACTGGAAACAATCATCATCATCATCATTTCTATTTCTAGAATGTGATCTGTCTGTGTGCAGAAAAAGATGGATAAAACAAAAAAAAAAAAAAAAACAAGAATTGAATCAAATAGATCGACTATCATTCGTTGTGTTGTAGTGGCCTTAATATTTTTTATGGATGTGTTGAATTGCAAAAAAATTCTCAAATAAAGATTCTTTGTTTTTTTTTATTTGTCAAGCGCAGTCAAACACGAAAAAAAAAATTTTCTTCACATTTAGATAATATAATTTCGATCGAAAATGATTCCGAACATAAAACAACAGACACAAACACACACACAAAAGGGTTTTCAAATTTTTTTTTTCACACATAAGAAATATATTTTTGTTGATGATGGTGATTATTTTGAACCAGAAAAAAAATGGATCACACACACACAATAATCATTGAGTCAAATTCAACTCTCAATTATGTAATAAACACACAAATATAAAAATTCATAATGATGGAATATGTGTGTGTGTGTGTGTGATGGTCCAAAAAAAAAAAAATAACGATCCATCTATTTTTGGAACATAGAAATATTTTATGCTGCTTCTGCTGTTGTTCATGTAAGAATCATCATCAAAGAATTTTTAACATTCAAAGCAATTTTTGGCTCATCGATTTTGATATACCGGAGTGTATTATATACATATACACACACACAAACTATGCACGTCTATGATGATGATGATGATGATAATGGTCAATCCAATAGTTCGAGTCCATGTGTGTGTGTGTGTGTGTGTGGGTATACGACCCACTATATTCACACAGTACCACTACCCAGAATAATAATAATATATATATTGATGATACATATCCATTGCTCACCCTCATTGGATGGATCATCAAGGTCGCGACGATGACTACTATAGTATTCCTCCTCTATTTGGTATCATTCATTTTTTTTTTCTTTTTATAATTCAATCATCATTCAATGATCATGCGCAAATTGAGAATTTCTTACTTTTCAGGTCAGCATCTTTTTTTTTCAATCCATTTGTGTGTTGTTTGTTGCTCGTTTTTATAGCTCATTTTTTTTTTGGCGCCTATTTTTTTTTCTCAACAAAGTCATTCAGTTTTTTAATTTTAATTTAATTTTTCTTTGATCAACTAAAATCATAATGGATTTTCTACAAGAATGTCAAGAATATTTTGGTACAAAAAATCTATATGAAATTCTTGAAATATCTAAAACAGCCAATGAGAATGAAATTAAATCGGCATATCGTAAAAAATCACTTAAAGTTCATCCGGATAGAGTACAAGCTGCAAGTCAAAAAGAATCGGCAAAACGTGCATTTCAAATATTGACCAAGGTAAATTCGAATTTGTTTTTTATTTTGGTAATATGGTAATTTGATTTGATTACATTTAATTTAGGTTCATTGTGTATTGAGTAATGATGAATATAGAAAAGTTTATGATGAAAGTGGAATGATCATTACCGATGAGAATAGTTTTACGGATTTATCTACATTCGATGAATTCATGAACTATTGGCGAACATTGTTTCCACGTATTGATGCTAAAAAATTGGATGATTTCGAACAAAATTATGTTGGCTCATCAGAAGAGGAAAAAGATTTGAAAAATCTTTATGTAAAATTCGAAGGAGATTTAAACATGATTTATGAATATTTTTATTTCTATGATGAAGATCGTGTCACCGGAATGCTTAACAAATTGATCGATATGAATGAAATACCAGCATTCGATTCATTTGTTAATGAACCAAAATCGAAAAAAAACAAACGTATAAAAAGAATTCAAAAAGAATCTTTATCGGCTAAAAAAGAATCAGAAAAACAACAAAACAATGATGGTGATTCTGATTTAATAATGGCTATTCAAAAACGAAATACATCCAAAGAGAATGGTTTTAATTCATTAATTAAAAATCTTGAAGCTAAATATGCAACATCCGGATCAAAGAATAAAGGTAAATCATCATCCAACAACAACAACAACAAGAACAAAAACGACGCATCTGATAATTTATCCGGTCATCTCTTATTCGTATAATGGTGGTTTTCTGTGATTTTTGTTTTCTCTCTTTGAACACACAAACAAAAAATTTATTCAAATTAATTGTCACGTATTCTATGTACTGTCTTTGCTCTTTTTCACACACACACACACACACACACACACAATTATCATCATCATCATTATCATACATGATGGTTTGTTTGTCAAATGAATCGAACAAAAGAAAAAATTCATCATCCAATTCAATCATCAAAAATCATTAAAATGTTAATAAATCAAGAAATTTTATTGGAAATATCCAATGGACAATCAATTAAAGAAGGTGTCATGTTTTATAAATTCAATGAATCTGGTAATGTTTTTGTTTTGTTTTGTGAAAAAAAAAGAAACTCTGATTATATTTAAATCATTTCAAATAACACACAGGTTACAAACAACGATGGTTTAGGCTATGTTCAAATATATTATTTGTATATCATACGGATATGAATCCAACGAATCATCATCATCATCATGGCCAGAATCGTATGATGAAACCATCATTTGCATTTTTAATGGAAAATTTCCATATTCACATTGATTCTAATATGCCGAATAAATTTTCATTTTGTAAGCATCTGTTTTGTTTTGTTTTAGTTCATTTAATCATCATCATGTTTATATATATCTGGATTAATTTTCACATATAGATTTTCTAGCCGAACCAGATGTAAATTATTGTTTCTTTTGTCTAAATAGCCGTCAAACAAACGAATGGTTAGAATTATTGAAACAATTATCATATCGTAAACAACGTGTTTATTTAAATCAACTACGTTTACAATTGAAAACAATCACCGGTATTGATCCACTTGAATCGACACCATGGTCAAATAAATCATGATTGATTGGTTTTAATTTCAAAGCATAATGTCAATATACAAATAAAAAAAAACTAGCAAAATGAAGTGAAACAATTTAAACAAAAAAAAACTATTATCAAATTATTATCATCGATCTAATCACATGAGCCATCATTCCAACCATCAAGCCATCTTTGTTCCAAAAGACGACAATCAAATTCTGGTTTTCCTAATTTTTTATTCACACGATTATGTTGTCGACACCACCATAATGATAATGAATGACGATTTTCTGTTTGTGGTGGATCATTATGGATTTCTTGTTGAAAATCTTTGGCACATGTTTCACATGGATAAAAACGAGCCAATCCTTTTATGAAATTTTTCATCAATTCTTGTTCATCATTGGTTGGTTTTTCTGGATAATACATAGATATTGTATGTAAAACACTCCAAGTATTGTGTCCTAATTCATTTTTATCCAATGGACAATCAGATCTGTGAGAAAATAAATTATTTTTTCAAACAATTTTCAATGTAAATGTAAAATTACCTAGTTAAATTGGAATTATTATCATCATCATTTTTTTGTTGATGTTTAACCTGTTGATTTTGATTTTGATTGGTCTGAATCCATGTTTTAAAATCATTACAAGCACGACATGGACGTTGATGGCGTAGTCCACTACCGATACCATATTCATAATCACCATCATGTGATTGTTGTAACATTGTTATTGGTGTTACTGTTGTAATCGATGATGATGAAAACATTGATTGAAAAATATTTGTAACAAACGATGACATTTTTTTTCAACAAACACAAACACGTTGAGGTAATTTACCGACAACAATTAACAGGACAAAATGAAAGAGAGAGAGAGAGAGAGAGAAAAAAAATATCCAAAAAGTGATGCAATGTCAGATGATCATGATATATGAATTTTTCGCCGAGTTTGCGTCACACACACACACACACACACATTGTAACATCTGATTTTTTTGTTTATTGTCGACGTGTGTGCATGTGTGATAAGAAATAGCGAAAAAAATAAAATAGCGAAAACCAGAAAAAAAAGATTAAATTGAACAAAAACGTAATTTCAAGAAAAAAAAAATCACCTTTAATCATCTTTTGATCAATTGTAAATATCGACAACTCTTGAACAAAAAAAAAAACTTATCAACATCGACAACAACAACAACAACAAAAAATGGCTCGACGTTATCCACATTCAAATGAAGGTATGATATGATTCGCGAATTTTTTTTACGAAATTTTTTTACTAATTTTGTTTTTGTTGTTTTTTTTCAGATTTTTTCTCCACCCACATCCAAGGTAATGAAAATAATGATCTAATTTCTGGTCTTCGAAATCAAGTTAATGAACTAAAATCGGTATGTTTTTGTTTTTTTTTTGTTTTCACCACTGGTCAAGATTAATTATCCACTGTCTTATAATTTGAATTGAATTTTTTAGTTATCATTGGACATTGGTGACGAAATCAAAGAACATAATCGTTTCCTAAAAGATATGGACAATGATTTTGATTCCACATGGGGATCATTGACAAATTCTATGGCTCGTTTGAAAAAAATTGCCAGTTCCGGTAATCATCGTTACATATGGTATCTATTATTGTTTTCGCTTTTTGTTTTCTTCATCATTTGGTTGATTATTAGATTTTAAAAAATGAAATCACATTGTTGTATTTTCAACAAAGATTAAAACAAACACGATTTTGTATTTATTTTTTTTTTTTAAATTTTAAATCGCATTTTATCAATCATAACGTGATTGTTGTTCCAAAATTTTTCCATTGGAACAGATTTTGTTGTTTTTTTCCATTAAAATGATTATTTTCCATCAAATTTTACAATTGAATCAAAACAAATTGTCAAAAATGACCATTATACAAACATTCGAAAAAAAAAAACTTTTCGGAAAAAAAATCCAACAAGACATCAAAGAAATATTCTAGGAATTTGTTTGTGAGTTATATGTTGAAGTGTTGCATGCATTTGAGTTTTGGAGGGAATTTCACTGGTTTTTTTGTCCTTGTCCAAAGTGTTTATTTTTTCTTTTTTTGAATAATTCATCATGGATAACGATAATGATTATGGTGATGATTATGAAGAATTTATCGATGAAGAATCAAATGTTGGAAACAACACTGATATGAATGTTGATCCACAACAACAAGATGATGAAATTGTCGAAACTAAACGTGTTCATAGTCGATGGTGTCGACCACAGCCATCAATTGATTATAAAAAAGATGCAATCATTTTTCAACAAATTGACATTGATTATTACATTGGTGAAGCACGACCAGATATGCCTGGTCCATCACAAGGACCAATGCCAATCATGCGAATGTTTGGTGTCACATCCGATGGTATATCGATAATGGCACATGTTCATGGTTTTGCACCATATTTCTATGTTTTAGCACCGAAAACATTTGATTCAAAAATATGTAAACAATTACTTGAACGATTGAACAAACTGATTCTGGCCGAATTACGAAACAATTCTGAAAACATATCCGATGCTGTACTATCGATTGATTTGGTCGAAAAACAATCACTTTATGGTTATCAAAAATTGGGTAAAACACAATTCATAAAGATTACATTGTGTTTGCCACGATTAATCAGTATTGCTGCCAAAATATTAACAACAACAAATTTGCTCGGTCAATCGGAAACAAAATGTTTTGAATCCAATATTGAATTTGAAATCCGATTCATGGTGGATCGAAATGTTGTCGGTTGTTGTTGGATCGAATTGCCTGTTCAATCATATCAGCTAAGAAGTGCGGATAAATATGAATCCAGATGTCAAGTGGAATTAGATGTAGCCTATGACAAATTAATTGCCTATGAACCGGATGAAAAATGGTCATCAATTGCTCCGTTACGTGTGCTTAGTTTTGATATTGAATGTGCTGGCAGAAAAGGTATTTTTCCCGAACCAGAACATGATCCAATCATACAGATTGCCAACTATGTCACTAGACAAGGTGAATCAGAACCATTTATTAGAGTTATTTTCTGTTTGAAAACCTGTCTACCAATTGTTGATCATGAAGTTCGTTGTTATGATGATGAGAAAAAAATGCTTCAATCATGGGCTGATTTTGTTCGTGAAGTTGATCCAGATATTATCACCGGTTATAATATCCAGAATTTTGATCTCGGTTTTCTAATTGATCGTGCTAAAACATTGAAATCATCAACATTTCCATTTCTTGGACGAATAAAACGTTCACAGACCAAAATAAGACGTGCTATTCTACAATCAAAACAAATGGGAAAACGTGAAAATAAAATAATCAATATTGAAGGTCGTGTTCAATTTGATCTTTTATTGGTCATATTACGTGATTATAAACTACGATCATATACATTGAATGCTGTTAGTTATCATTTTCTTGGTGAACAAAAAGAAGATGTACATCATTCAATTATTACTGATCTACAAAATGGTAATGAACAGACACGTAAACGTTTGGCCGTATATTGTTTAAAGGATGCATTGTTACCATTGAAATTATTGGATAAATTAATGTCATTGATTAATTATATGGAAATGGCACGTGTTACTGGTGTACCATTATCATATCTTCTAGCACGTGGTCAACAGATTAAAGTTGTATCACAGTTATTACGACAAGCACTTAAACAGGATTTAGTAATGCCTGCTGTACGTGCTGAACAAGGTGATGATTTTTCTGGTGCATTAGTTATTGAACCAATACGTGGTTATTATGGTGTACCGATTGCAACATTGGATTTTGCATCACTATATCCATCTATTATGATGGCACATAATCTTTGTTATACAACATTATTGACTGCCAATGAAGCAAAACAAATGGATCCAGATGCCTATACGAAAACACCATCAGGATCATATTTTGTTAAACAAACCATACGAAAAGGACTATTACCAGATATTTTAGAACAATTATTGTCTGCACGTAAAAATGCAAAAGCTGATTTGAAAAAAGAAACCGATCCATTTCGTAAAAAAGTACTAGATGGCCGTCAATTGGCATTGAAAATGTCTGCCAATTCAGTATATGGTTTCACTGGTGCACAAGTGGGTAAATTACCGTGTTTGGAAATATCACAAAGTGTAACCGCTTTTGGCCGTGTTATGATTGAAAAGACCAAGAATCTAGTGGAAACAACATATACTGTGGCGAATGGCTATGGCAAAGATTGTATGGTCATTTATGGTGATACAGATTCAGTGATGGTCAATTTTGGTGTCAATACCGTTGAAGAGGCTATGAAATTGGGTAAAGAAGCAGCGGATAAAATATCGGAAAAATTTGACAAACCAATTAAACTTGAATTTGAAAAAGTTTATTATCCATATTTATTGATCAATAAAAAACGTTATGCTGGTCTTTTTTGGACTCGTCCAGAAAAATTCGATAAAATGGACTGTAAAGGCATTGAAACTGTACGTCGTGATAATTGTCCATTGGTTGCCAATTTGATTAGTGCCTGTTTACATAAGATTCTGGTTGAACGAAATCCAGAAGCAGCCGTTAATCATGCTAAATCAGTGATTGCTGATTTACTCTGTAATCGTGTAGATATTTCCAATCTGATCATTACAAAAGAATTGACAAAATCTGATCATGAATATGCTGCAAAACAAGCACATGTTGAATTGGCTAACCGTATGGCTAAACGTGATGCTGGTTCAGCACCAAAATTAGGTGATCGTGTACCATTTGTAATAATTGCTGCAGCAAAAGGTACACCAGCTTATATGAAATCAGAAGATCCAATTTATGTATTAGAAAATCGTATTCCAATCGATACACAATATTATCTTGATAATCAAATTTCAAAACCATTAATACGGATATTTGAGCCAATATTTCGTGAAAAAACTGAATCAGTATTATTGCGTGGTGATCATACACGTACAAAAACAGTGTTAACATCAAAAGTTGGTGCATTATTTAAATATACAAATAAACGTGAAACTTGTATTAAATGTAAAACATCTTTACCGGAAAAACATGGTAAGTTTCATTCATTCATTCATTCATTTCATTTCATTTCACATTTTGATTATTTTACCTGTCCAATTTTTATGGATTAGAATATGCCACTTGCGATTATTGTGTTAAAGATGAACAATCCATATTTAAGAATGAAATTTCAAAATTAACACAATTTGAAGAAAAATTTGCCAAATTATGGACACAATGTCAACGTTGTCAAGGTAGCCTATTGGAAGAGGTTATCTGTACAAGGTATATATGTGTATCATCATCAATACTTATCTATTAATATCTCTTTTCATTCATTCATTCATTCATTTAGCTGTGATTGTCCAATATTTTATATGCGTAAAAAAATTAAATTTGATCTAGCTGAACAGCAAAAAATTATTCAACGTTTTGGTATGCCTGAATGGTGATCATTATCCGATTCGAGGATCGATAAATTTGAATATTTGATCGCATTTTGTTTTTTTAAAGATTCATCATCATAAGTGCTTTTTCAAGTGCATTTTCAATTTTTACGTTGAAAAATTTTTTTTTTACTTATATTCGATCCATCAATGTCAAGTGAATTTTTGTATCGTTTGAAATTAATATGTGTCGAATATATGTGTCTCTACATTAAACATCGAAATACAAGTACAGCTAATTAGGCTAGACATTGAAACGAAGAGAGAAAAGAAATCTAAAAATAAAAAAAAAAAAAAAATGTTCATCCGCTCTATGAATAACCGATTGTCGGCTTTACAATGTTTTTGTTTTGTTTCTGGTGGTGGTGATGTTGTTCATCAACATGGTCATGATGATCATCGATATCCAGGTTTACTTGGAATGATATGAGATTATGTTAATTCATCATGATGATGATGATGATGATGATGATTATTATTACCATAACAAATGCGCAAACACATAAATCCTGGTTACCAAAATTAGATTCGCACTTGTTTTCTTTTTATCTCCATCCACTTTACACCATCATCATGATCATTGGCATCCATTTTTTATCATCTCAAGTGTGTACGTTTCTTCACCACTATGGCCAGATTGGTCATCATCGATGATGACGATGACCTCATGATATAATTACATTAAGAACAATTGAATAAAATAAAAAAAAAATTCCATTTAACATGTGATAATTGATTACGTATATGTCAATTTACCTGTTGGTACAATGAATGTCGAATCAATTATAATAGAATTCGATGAACAAAAAAAAAAAAATAATGACAATCACCCTAAAATGATTAGCGATAAATTGATTTGTAGTAACAGCAGCAACAACAACAACAACAACAACAAAAAAATTGAGATTCATCATCATCATCATTGCAGAACCAGGTGGAATATTGGAATGACAGCGCTAAATTTGGCTAACAACAACAACAAAAAAAAGGTTGGACCAACAACAGCTACTATTTTTGACCAACAATCAAATCAGATCATAATAATAATAATAAAAAGGAAGCTATCTATCGATCACAACATTGGTAAAATCATCATCATCATTGATCATCATTGATCAACAATCATAAATCGACCACACCAAACGACATTCACATATTATATGAGATATTAATAGCGACAAAAACAAGTTTTCCACTTCTCATATATATATATTCTAATTATACAAAACAATTGATCTTGTTGTTGCTTTATTTTTATACATTTTGATGATGATAATATACCAGTCTAGACACGAAAATTTGAAATCAATCGATCTGATCAATCAATAAAATTTTTTTTTTTTTTTTTGGTGGTGGCGGTTTGTAAAAAAATTCTCTTTGCCAGTCATATCACCAAAAAAAAAAAAAAAATCGATTGTTTTTCTCTGTATGCCATTATTATGAATTTGAAAATTTTTTTTTTAAATCATAAAAACGACAACAATAATATGACACATATTATTGTCATCATGCACTATTTTTTTAATTATTAAAAGAAAAATTCTTTGGCAACCAAAAAAGAATAATTGAATTCTGGGCGCCTAAAAAAAAATTGTTTCGGTGTGCGTGTGTGTGTGTGTGTACATGTTGACAACAAGAATATATGCGTGCATGTTTAAACACACACACAGAATAATGCGAATAGATAGAATTTAGAGATAATTTTTCACTGGATGACAAACAATCATTGGCGCATATCGGAGCGCGCAGTTTGTTATTATATGTTTTTATATTATGTCATCAATTCGTCTGTTTATGTTTGTTGTTTTTTTTTTGAATGTATGTGAATTGGACCATGCAGAATAGAATATTCTGACCACTATGAATTTTTTTTTGTCATTGTGAACTATTCCATAATCATTTTTTTTGTTTTCTCATCATCATTGGTCATTCAAAACTGGCCAAGCTAGCTAGCTAGCTGGCTGGCTGGCTAGCTGAATGGCTATTTTGATGATGATGATGATGATGGTGGCCTGATATTTTTCTTTGCCCCCCCACCCAGGATCAACTAACTTTAACTCTTCACATTCAAACGGATTCCAAATTGGACAAAAAAAACGGTCGGTTGGTCGGCCGTTTTTTTTTTCTTCCATTGAAAAACCATCATCATCACTGCCGCGCACGCTTCTATTTCTCATTTATTGTTTGTTTGTTCTACTATCATCTATCTCTGTCTGTTCATGTGGTTGTGATCATTTGGTAGTGGTGGTGGTGGTGGTGGTTTTTTTTCGGTGCGCTTCACTCGCGCTTTGCTTGCTTTCTTTTGGCTTCATCATCATCATCATCATCAGAAAAAAAAGAAAAGAAAATTTGTCGGTTTGGTTTCCACAAACACACACACACACACACTTGATCGATCGGTTGGTTGGTTTTTTTTTCTATTTGCATCACAATCAATAATGCTTCTTCGCTGTTTGTGTCTGCTGAGCCAGTTATGGAGTTTTTTTTTCATCATCATCAATTTTTGAATTTATTATCGTTGAAAACAGACAAAAACAAATAACGTCTTTTTTGTGTTTGTGTGTGTGTGTTAGTCATCAATTTCTTTAAGTTTTCATCATTTTTTTTTTTTTTTTAGTATTTATATGTGACAATCATAATCTCGGACCAAAAAAAAAAAAAAAAAAAAACATTTGATATTAACCCAATTTCTTTATGGATGGCCTTCGCGCCATTCTTTTTTTTTTACTTCTATTGATCAGTTTTATATTTATAATCAATTAATCTACATCTGTAACCATATCAACAATCAACAATCATCATTGAAATTACCACCGTCCAAATTTAAGTGTGTTATTATTAATGACAACAACAACAACAACAATCATATATTTGTTAGTAGATTTGAATTTTTTTTCAGAATCAGAATTAATTTGATTATTACAATTTATTGATTTGTTTGTTGTAAATTTTTTTTTTAGGTTTATTATTGATATTCAAATTCAATAGAATTTTGTTTCATTCCAAAAAAAAAATCGAATCAAATCAAATCTAGAATCGAATCTTTGTTTTGTGTGAATAAAACATAACATACACACACACACAAATAAACAACTGTGATACATTCTTCTGTTTGATTATCATTCGAATTTGAATAAATAAAGCAAAAAATGGCATCCAACACCAATGTAAGCGTTGCCGTTAGGTATGTATTATGATAATTATCAATCTAATTGATTGATTGATTGATTGATTGTTTTTTTTGTTGTTGTTGTTGGTGGTGGTGGTCTACAATAGAATTCGGCCAAAATTACAACGTGAAGAAATTGATATGTATAATATTTGTACTCGGTGTACACCTGGTGAACCACAAGTTTGGCTTGGTGATGATAAAGCATTTACATTTGATCATGTCTTTGATATGTCTTCTAAACAATCAGAAATTTATGATGCTTGTGTTACATCACTAATTGAAGGGTAAGTTTTTTTTCGGTTTTTTTCAGATATCGTTATCTAATTATCGTTATCAAAATGACAGTTGTTTCAATGGCTATAATGCAACAATACTTGCATATGGTCAAACTGGATCAGGTAAAACCTATACAATGGGTACTGGATTTGATGTTACATTTCCACAAGAACAAAGGGGTATTATTCCTCGTGCTGTTGAACATTTATTCGAAAATATCAATAAAAGACGTGATCAAGCCAAAAATGATGGTCTTCCAATGCCTGAATTTAGTATTAGTACACAGTTCATTGAAATTTATAATGATGAAATTATTGATCTGTTGGCCGAAAATCGAAACAAACGAAATCGAATACGTATTATGGATGATGAAGGCATTGTATTGCTTGGTGTTGAATCAAAATCCGTATCTACTAGTGATGATACAATGCATTGTCTGAAATCTGGTTCATTATTTCGTACAACAGGCGCTACATTAATGAATGCCGAATCATCAAGATCACATGCAATTTTTACACTTTTTATTAAACAAACACGTATAGATTTAATCAAAAAAGAGGATGATAATGAAACGCCTGAACAAGAAGTAATAACATTAACTGCCAAATTTAATTTTGTCGATCTTGCCGGTTCTGAACGTCTTTCTCGTACTGGTGCCGTTGGTGAACGTGCACGTGAAGGAATATCAATAAATACCGGATTATTACATCTTGGCAATGTGATATCAGCATTAGGTGATCGAACAAGAAAAATGACACACATACCATATCGTGATTCAAAATTAACACGTGTACTACAAGATTCTCTTGGTGGTAACAGTGTTACATTAATGATTGCCTGTATTTCACCATGTGATAGAGATTTTGTCGAAACATTAAATACATTACGTTACGCTAATCGAGCCAAAAATATCAAAAACAAAGTCACAGCCAATCAAGATTCACAGACACAACTTATTAATGAATTACGTCGTCAAATTATGCAATTACAGCTTGAAAATCAAGAACTACGACAGGGTAAATTATTTGTCAAAAATGATGGCGAAGTTGAATTGAATGATGTTTATCATGAAAATGAAATGCTACGAAGAGAATTGAACAATGCAAATGTTCGTATCAAAGCATTGAACACACGATTGACCGATGTAAATGATGAAAATATTAATCTGAAAGAAAATTTGGTCAAATATCAGATTGCTAATAATGATGGCGGCGGTGGTGGTGGTGGTGGTGGTACCAGCATTACGAATCAAAATGCAAATGAAGATGCAGCCGAATCTTTTATTAAAGCATATCTAAAAGAAATCAGTGATTTACGTTCAAGAGTTGTTGAAAGTGAACATCTTATTACTCATTATCGTAAACAATTGAATCGTACAACGAATGATGAATACGAAACGAATGGTGGAATGGACATTATAGAAAAGGCTAAACATGATGTTGAATTGGGAAAATCTTTTTATAATCAATTGAACCATTCAATGAGCTCACCAGATAGCAATGGTAATCGTGTCACAGATTTACATGATGATGATCAAGAGGATTTCTCTGAAGAAGACAATACTGAAGATTTTGAAACAAAACTAGCAAATCATAATGTTGAATTGGCCAATCTAATGGAAAGTTTAGCTTCTAAGGAACGTTTAATAGAAGAATTTGAAGCTCGTGAACGACGAATCATTGAATTGACTGAACAATATGAACAGAAAATTGTTAGCTTCAAAATGAAAATCAAACAAATTGAAGAAGATCGTGATAAATTGATGGGCAAAATTAAAAAAGAAAACAAAGATGATCATACATCGAAAGCAAAGAAAGAAGAATATGAAAAACGAATATCCAATCTACAGGCTGATATTCGTAAATATGAAAATCTTAAACGTGAACATAAGAAAATGTTAAGCCAAGAATCGATTAGTAAAGAGCAGCTGAAAAAACTACGACAAGAAGTTCTTGAAGCAAAACAACATCGTGTCAAATTGATTGCTCAGATGCGTGAACAAATGGGTAAACATAATAAAGAATTGCTAAGGAATCGAATTATGATCAATAAATTAACACGTGAAGATCAGAAAAAGGACATGCAAATTCGTAATCTTGAAACGCGATCAAATCAACAGAAGAAAATATTACAACGTCGCGAAGAAGAGATTAAAAATCTAAAACGATTAGCACGACCTGCTTATAGTGATCGTGTGGGTGGCCGTTTGCGACGTTACATGAATGGCGGCAGTACACCACAAAAAGCACGTGATAAATGGACACAATTTGAACAGAAATTCAACAAAATTGTCGCACTTCGTACACAATTTGAGCTTGAAGAGAAAAAATTGACCCGCTACTATGAAGATAGACAAGAATCAATCGACCTGTTGAATACGTTGAAAGAAAACAATAATGATTATGATTATTTTGAATCGGTCAAAGAAAACATTGAATATCTGGATCAATGTATCAAAACTAGCCAAGGAATCATCATGCAATCGGAGGATGAAAATCTCAACATTGATCAATTGTTCGATAAACTTGATCCAGATGAAACGGAATATATTTTGAATAAATTGGCAAATAGTGCAATCAATCATGCTATCGTTGCATCTCAACGTGATGAAGAGCTTAAAGAAAAGGATGCTAGATGCAAAAATTTAACCGATGAATATGTTGCCCGTAGTCAATTATTGGATTATTTGATTGAAACCAATAAACTTCAACAACTGGTAAGTATATAAATACACACACAAAACAAGCTAATCTGAATACTTTTTTTTCTTTCTCTCTCTCTCTCTGTCTCTATTACCCATCATTTTAGAAATACGAAAACGATAATTATGATGATGACATATTACCACATATTTCAGACATTCCACCTTCGAATCCAAAATATCGTCGATTAACAAGAACACCGGCTGAATTATTGTTACCACCACAAAGTCAACAAGAACAAGAAATTAAACATCAACAATTGGAAATGAATAGAACATTTTGGCTGATTAAAGACAATGATAAAAACAATATTGATCAACAACAACAACATTGTGATTCAAATTCGTTGATGATACAAAGTATGTATGAATCTTCGAATGCTGCTAATACTGTTTCTTCTGCTGGTGGTGTAAATCCAAACAAATCGAGCTTAAATGGTGGTGGTGGTGGTGCTGCTTCTGCTGTTCCGGTAGTATGTCATGTATCGAATGCATCTTCACTCAAGTAAGTGTTACATTTTTTTTCCTTCTTAATAATTTACTATATGTATCTATATGTGCTCAATGATTTTAATTTGTCCCATTGTTTGTCTTGTCTCTCTGTGATCGTCTTTGTTTTGCTTTTTGTCTTTGTTCTATTATTGTGTGTGTTTTTATTGATTTGAACAATCAAAGAGAATTGAATGACATGTCAACAACATGTGCATCATCATGTAGTTCTTCTTCTATACCGACTAAAATGATTTCACATCATCATCATTATCTTTTATCACCACATTTGATGAGACGTAGGATTCCATTGAATAATAATAATAATCATCAATATCATATCAACAACAACAACAACAACAACATCAGCAGCAGCAGCAATCATAATCATTTGATGATGAATAATAATAATAACAATAATAATCTGACATCATTTAAAATGAATCGTTTTATGCGTAGCACTAGCAGCAACAGCAACAGCAGCAGCAATAACAACAACAACAACAACAACAATGATCATCATCAAAATTATGATTCAAATTATTGTCGACCAAATGTTATGTAAGATTGATGATGATGATGATTGTGTTTGTGTGCTTTTTTCTTTATCCTTTAAAAATTTAGCTTTAGATTTATATAATTGTCTTTTTCGATAACCGGATTTTTTTTAAATTAATCCTTTCTAATCAATGGAATTTTTCTATATTATTATATCACAGTGATACTTTTAACATTAATGAATCGTCAACAGCAGTAACTGGTACACCGCCCGGATCACCATCAATAAATCGTCGAATTAATCGTGAAACAACAAAATCATCAACATTGATGTGTTCATCTATGAATAATGATTCGGATGTTTTTTCTCGATTGACTGGTGCCTCAACAGTTAGTAATCAAGTAGAAAATAGGTATGCGCCCCTGACAAACAACAACATTTTTGACATGTGTCATCATTAATTTTTTTTTTTTAATCTTCGTTTTTTTCATTAATCCTAAAAAAAATATATATATATATAGCATTGGTCAAATATTACCATGTACGACAACGAGTAGTAGTAAAGCAATCGATAAACAATTTCCATTGACATGTACACATAGCGTAGGTGAGTGTAAAATTCTAAATAATGATAATGATGTCAAGATTGGTTTTGATAAAAACAATGATGATGATGATGATGGTGATAAAAATGATCATGCCTTATCGACAAATGTTGAATGTAGAATCATCATGGATATAAAACCAACAACAACAACAAATAATAGAAATATCAAATCTACAAATAAATCAAAAATAATAAAACGAAATAAAACAACAATGGCCATTGTTGATGATAATTCACCAACAACAAATTCATCTAATCATCATCAAATACAATCATCATTTTGTAATACTTGTGAAACATGTCAAGATGGTGTTTGTACTAGACGAAAAAAAAGATTGAATTTTCATTAATTCATCATGATGATGATGATTTATAATACAATGCGACGACTGATGGCGTTTGTGGTGGTGGTGGTGCATAATCACATAACTTATAAAAAAAACATACATCATTTTTTTTCATGTCATCATCATCAAACATATAAATTAATTAATTAATTCAATTTTTATCAATATAATCAATAAATTGATTAAATTTCAAATTTTTTTTCCATATTTTCATTTCATTCCTCTTTGTAATACCGCAAAAATTGACCGCAACAAAAAAAAATTAATTAATGTTTTTAATAGTTGGACATAGACGAGCAGTATTATCAGTGACAGCTACAAAAGAAGTATTATTTAGTGGATCAAAAGATTGTACGGCAAAAATTTGGGATCTCAACCAATGTACAGAAGTATTTTCATTGAATGATCATCCAGATGCTGTTAATGTTGTACGATATGAAGAATATAATAAATTAATTTTCACTTGTTCCAAATCGATCATTAAAATCTGGGATCCACGCCAAAAACCAATTAATTGTGTACGAACATTAAGGTATGTTTAATTGTTTGTTTGTAAAGCATATCATTCATTTTTTTGTTTGTTTGTTTGATTTTGAATATAGTTCAACAGGTTTAACAACAGATCTTGGTAATGATATTTTCATTTATGATATACAACTAAGTGCCGATGGTTCGATTCTGTTTTCAACATCCGATCGTATTGTTCGTGCATGGGATCTACGAAAATTTCAACCAATTTCTAGGCTAAATACTGGCCATAATTCATTGGTCACATGTTTGGCCGTTGATGATGATGAAATCAATGATACACGTTTAGTCATCACTGGTTCAAAAGATCATTATATAAAAGTTTTTGAATTGGAACAAAATCTAAATGGAATCTATGTACCAAAATATACATTACAGCCACCACATTATGATGGTATACAAGCATTACGATTGATAAATAAAGGCCGTTTCCTGTTTTCTGGTGGTCGTGATGGTTATATTAAAAAATGGGATCTTACAGCACAAAGTTGTATGGCCACATATAGTAATCGTGGTTGGGTATTAGCATTGGATACATTCTTACAAGAAACTGTTCTATTATCAGCATGTCGTAGTGGCTATCTTCGTTTATGGAGCACCGAAAATTGTCATTTATTTGGCGAAATACAAGCACATCAAATGGCCGTCAATGATATTGCCACCATACAGCAGACAATATTCACGGCATCAAATGATTGTACAATCAATTTATGGCAACATCGTGATAGTAGTCCTATTGAAGATATTATTAGCCATTAACAAATAATCATCATCTTTCATCTGTTAATCATTTATCCAATCATCAGTATTTCTACATACACACACACACACACACACACTAGAATATCACACTTTTTTTTGTATGCTACAAAAACAAAACAAAAAAAAAATTAATAACAAATCATCATCACTATATTTTTGTAGGAAACACAAACTAATTTTTGACTAAAAAAACAAAACAAAACAAAACAAAAACGACAAACAAACAAACAAACAAAATCTTTTTATTTATTTTTATTTATAAAATAATTTATAATAATGTTCTCTCTCTCTCTCTCTTTTATGAAATTAAAAAAAAAATCCTTGTATGTAAATCGACTAGGATCAAATTTTAAAGATGTCCAAGTGTGATTGGCTTTGTTTTTTTTTTTTTTTTTATACAATTTGATTTGATTTGAATATATAAAATTGGCGTATTGATTGAATCACATCACAGACTGAATGAATGAATGAATGTTTTTTTGTTTTGTTTTTGTTTTTTTACATTGAATATCGTCCAATATTCCGGTAAGAAGTACGTTCATATGGTGGTAAATTATGGCTATTAAAATATTCATTATAGATTAATTTACCAAGAAATAAATGAAATATAATGATTAAAAAAATCATTGCTATCCAAAAAAAATTGGGTAAACCACCAAGTGAATGGCCATAACGATGTAAAGCAATTGTCTGATGTTCATGTGGTGGTGCTTCACTAATTTCTTTCACATGAATTGAATGTTTTAATTCTTGTACATGTTCACGATCAGATGTTATATAAAGTAATGGTGTTAATGGTTCAGTTAATTTTACTGGAAATTCTTGTGCAATGGATGTCAGATGTATTGGTGCATCCAAACAACCAGCATCACAAGCATAATATTCTTTTAATTTATCTAAGAATAAAAAATGTTTAATGGTGGTAATTAGATCATCAATTGATAAACTTACTATGATTTTCAATGGAAACACGAATCAAAGCTTTGTTTTCATCATTAATGATAACACTAATGTTGAGCAAAGTTTTATCATCATACATTAAACGTCGAATCAGAAATGATCGTTGAAGATCATTTGGATGTGAATGAAATTCAATATGTCTTGGTGTGAAACGTAAACCAATCAAACTGAGCACAAATGCTTGAAGAACATTGCCAGCACTTGATTTCATTAAATGTTCACAACTTTGTTTTTCTAATGTTAAAAACCATAATGAAATTACACGATAAAGATCGTTAACAGAATCCAGACGGTCCCATAAACGAGGAGCCTGAATTGAAAAAAAAATTTTTGAGTTAATGAAACAATTTGGTCAATTTAATTTACATACATGCAATGTAGAATGGCCATTATAACATCGATCTGGCCGATAAATCAATGATCGATTTATTGTTTCTAAATTTGTTAATTCGTTGCTAAAATTTTCCAATATAGAATTACTCTGTTGATTCGATTGATTTGGCAATAACATTGGACGTTGAGATAGCATATAATAAAGTGTAGCATTTATCTGATATCCATTGACAACGTTTGGAGCATGTGAATGTGAAATACTAAAACCTGAAGACCAAATTTTTTCCCATGCATGTTCATGATATTGTTGCAGGGCTGTATCGGAAAAATCAACCAATTTTTTGACCGTTTCTCGTAATGAAATTTTTAGATCTGGTATTGCAGCTTGCATTTCGGATTCATGACTAAAAACACCAGTATAATTGATAAACGTATGGACGGATAATGAGAAACGATCATTTGGATGTACTTCGATTGTGTCATGCAACGATGGATATGCAATTGCAATTGCTTGTGCTTTTGATAGTCGATTGGATTGTTTTTTGCCACTATGATTTTCGATGCTATGCTGTACTGGTGCAACAATCATTGAATATTCACGATGATCTTTGGTGGTCACACCAATAGGCTTACTAACGACAGATTTATTTGACCAACGAGATAAAGTCAATATAACCGGAGAATTCTGATTTGGAAAAAAAACCAATAACATCGTAATGAATATATAAATCATAATTATGGTAATGAAACATACATACCGTAGGATTCGAAATACGAATGTTCTGCGTAAACAACACTGGTATTAAACGATGAGCGGAAAAAATCTCATGAATCGAAATGATACCGCCACCATAATTGCTGCAGGTAAATTTTTCAACAATTCCCTTACGATAACGCGATACGTAAGCAGCTAATAAAAATAAAAATTGATTATCAATAAATTAATTAATCAATCAATATCCATACATTTAGTATGAGTTCCAAATTCGCCCACATTAATAATCGGATCGAATGGTATGAATGTATCGAGAATACGTTTGCCCATTATATGAAAACGTGCACCATTTTCTAAATTTTCGACTGGAGCAATGGAAAATTTTCCATTGCCAACAAATGGAATAAAAGAATTTTTTGATATATCATTGATACTCGGATAGTAAGTAGTTCCAAATGATGATGATGATGATGATGTCGGTTCTACAACGGTGGGCAACGATGCTGATGATGGATGATTTTCGAATGGAATCCAAACACTGGAATCGGAAGATTCAATTTCGTAATGAAATGATTGTACAAATTTATCGATACATTGAGAAGTGAAATCTGTGGTGAAAATATTCGAAATTAAAAAAAAAACAACGAAATAAATAAACAAACAAAATAAAGTGTTCGTACCTTCTTTTTTCAAACGGGTAACATTTAATCGACGAAAAACCAATGATATTAGATAAATGACCAAAAGTATTCCACATATCATAAGAATGGAACGTTTTCGCCTACCAAAAAAAACAAAATTGGATTTATTATGAACAATATGACTGATTGAATAACTGAATAATTACAAAAACAATTTATCATGTCGTTTCAGACGACGAGAATTGAAAAATTCAAAATAATCACGTAAAGACATGATTTCCAATCAGTATATAGATGATGAAAATAAGATCTGATCTGGTTCACTGCAAACCGTTGGATTATTTTAAGAATCCGTCATTCTTATCATTGTTGGATTGATATTGGATGATGATGATGATGATAATTATCCGGCCACCTGATTCATAACAAACATACAATATAACACAGAGAAAAATGTGAGTGGTACACTGCAATTTTTTTTGGCGTTAAATCACCATTTTTTTCAAAGTGATATCAAAGTTTATCAATTTTTCGTTGATTTAATTTCATCTCTCCATAAATGATGTATTCCTTTCAGAATTTTTTATTTATATATCGAATGAATTTTTGTGATTTATTTTTTTTTGTTTTCACTCGAAATATTACAAGCAAAATTATAATCGCTTTACACATTTAGTGGGTATAATTTTAAATTTTCTCAAAAATTCCATTCCATCAGATAATATCATTTTTTTTTATCCACTAACCAGTTATATAACGGGTACACTTCATTTGGAATTTGCTCTCAAATGAAATGAAAAAATGTGTGCGTGTATGTTTACTTCGGTGCTTTTTTTTACATATATGTGAACCCAACATCGAATACATCGAATATATACGGCGTCATTATTTGATCCATTTTTTTTAATGTTTGAATGAAATACAAAAACAACGACAAAAATTTCATTTTCATATTCAAAATAAAAAAAACAATTTGCCCACACCACCACCATCATCACATGCACATACGATTCAGGTGAACGAATTTTGGCTCATTTATACGAAAAAAAACAAAAACAAATCACACGTTTGTGTACAAAAGGTATGTACTGGTCGTGCATTTTTTTTTGTTTTGTTTTGTTTTGTTTCTAATCCTAAAACGAGAAAATTTTTTATCATTAAACTCTAAAAACAAAACAAAACAAAACTCGAAAAATTTAGTTAAGACGTTTTGTTTGTTTTTGTGTGTGTGTGTGTATAGTAACAACGAAACAAAACAACAACAATAAAAATCAATCAATTACTATCGAACACACACCACCTCCACCATTTTCAAAACAAACTTGAGTTTTTTCTTTTAACCATCTCGTTTCTGGATCAACAACATTTTTAATTGGTGGCAAAAAAAAAAAAAAAAATTGAATGCAAATCGAAAGAAAGAACACGAGAGAGAGAGAGAGACAGAGAAGATAGCCATGACCGCTAAAACAACAATTAAACACAACAACTCATTATCACAGCAAAAAGATCTATATAAAATTGTTTGTTTGTTGACTTTTTTCTTTTCTCTTTCATTGTATGTATGTGTGTGTGTGTGTGTTACATTTTATTCATTCTTTGATCTAAATAAATTGCATCATCATCGCCAAAAAAAATTTTTATACAAAGAATTACAAAAAAGCAAACAAAACAGTCTGTTATTTTTTTATTTTATATTTGAATTTGGTTGTTGACACATGACCTTGTACTCGTTTCATTTCATATATATTTATTTATTTCGTTTTTTATATTTCTTTTTTTTCCAATTTACAACGTGTAAATAGAGATTACATATACACAGGTATGAAAGAAATTTTTTTTTTCTTAACAAAAAACATTCGAAATTTTACATCGTTGAACACATTTTTTATATTCAATAATAATAATCTCTTTCTTGGCTTTTTTTTTTTTTTTTTTTTTTGACCATAATTACGATATATATCCTTTTTAATAATAATAATAACTTGATATATAACTCTACTTTTGCATTTGTTTTTTTACATTTATCTATTCTCTCTTTCTTTGATAGTGAGCATTTTCAAATTTTTTCTTCGTTCCAAATCGCAAAATTGCATGGAATTGAAATTTTTTTTTGTTCTTTCTGTTGTTGCTCCATTTTTATTGGAAACAACCACCACCACCACCACCACCACAGTGTACATATCCATAATTATAGTATAATAATTGAAAGTGATCTATTTTTCCTTTTTACTTTCTCTTTTTTTGCTTTCTTCTTCGTCATTTTTTTTTCTATCGATTACGTATTCATCATTTTTTTTATATATTTGTTTTTGTTGTTGTTGTTGTTGTAAAAATTTAGGAATAGAAAACAAAAACCTCCCATAGAAAATATCATGTCGTTGCCATTGTCGAATAATAATAATGATGAAGACAGTAATGTTTCATCGTCTCCACCTTCTTCTTCTACTTCTTCTTCTTCGAATGGACATCAATCATCAACAAATTTTAATGATGATGAACATGGAATCAATACCACTGTGAATAATAATAATAATAATAATAATAATAGTGATAATAGTAATATTGATAGTCAACAACATAACATTACTGATGATGATAATAATGGTCACCATAATCAACATCAGCAGCAGCAACAGCAACAACAACAACAACAACAGCAGCAGCCACAGTCACATACAACAACCACACAATCATTGGCTAACTGTTTGATTCGAATAGCTCGTATATTTAGTGGTAATAACCGTAATGATGATGATAATGATGATGATGATGGTCAAACTGAAACCAATAATGATCAATCTTCAACAACGAATGGAGCCAACACTTCAACACAAGTTTATGTCACAACGACAAATAATTCTTTATCATCAATGAATTCAACATCATCATCATCATCAAATTCACAATCATCATCTACGAATGCTATAACACGTATATTTGAACATTATAATATTATTCAACATCATCATCATCGTAATAATAATCATCGACAACCGAATCAATCGAATTCACAACATTCAACGATTATTATAAATGGTGATAACGGTAATACACAAAATTTTCAAAACGGTAATGGTAATGCTATTACTATTCCTACATCCGCAACAACACGAATTATACAAATAAATCCTACACATCATCATCATCATCATTCAACACCATCGTCATCATCATCACGAAATATAGTCACAATTGAACCTGTATATGCAGCAACTATTCGTCGAGTTTCCATTCAATCAACACCATCATCAACATCTTCAAATGAAGAAATCAACAACAGAAACCAAGAACAACAACAACAGCAACAAGAACAACGATTAGAATCATCAACACAACCAAATACATCGTCATCGATTACATCGACAACTAATACAGCTACAGATACATTGAATCATGGACAACAAACAACAAATAATGGCCATCAATCATCAATTATAACTGGTTTAATAAGTGATGATAATAATGACAATTTGATGGATTCATCATCATCATCATCATCAACTAATGAGCAGCAATCAATTTCAAATGAAAATGTTAATCAACAACAACAACAACAGCAATCAGGCGAATCGACAACGTCTCGAAATCGGTCACCATTTTCAGTTACAATGAATCTAACATTTAATATACATCAACATAGTGGTAGTAATCATCATCATCATCAACAACAACAACAACAGCAACAGCAACCAAGGAATTTTAACAATTTATTTGAAGTTCCAATTAATGGTGGTGTTGGTGCTGAATGGATTTTAGATGCCAATCTTCTTCGTACACGACAACGAGTCTATAGTGTAGGTATCGTTTTATTCTCGATCATGATCAAGGTTGGATCGATTTGAAATTTTGTGGGAAAAAAAATTCTAATCATTTCTTTTTTTCTTTTTTTTCTTTGTTCATATATTTAAAAGATGTTGCTCATAAGAATCGCTCTTTTATATTCGGTTTCTATACCGAAATTTATTCGAAATATTTTCGAATATTCCATATTATTGATGGCCTTTATTTCTTTTGCATTATTGATACATATGCATGTGATGTTTATACGTTCACCATTAACATGTTTGGATCATGTTAAACAAACATGGCCAAAACATGGCATATTACGTGTCCAAATTGGTGATCAAGAGTCATTTTAACCACCACCACCACCACCACTACTGCCAATTCTGAATTGAATCCAAAATTTTGGAATCATCATTATAATACAACAACAATGAAAACACCAACAATAATGTTTCCATTGACATATGAACAATATCAAAATTTACTTATGATATTTTTCAATCAGATTCTGGATCATCTTATTTGAAATTGAAGCCTAAAGTATCGGAAAATTTCAATAATCAATATAGTCCTTTGAATCCAGTGATTATCAATATGGAAAATGATATTGATGAAAATGATCCAGAATTAACTTTTTTAAATTATAAAAAGAACGGAGGTTTGTATATTGATTTTTATATATTAATATCTGATGTTTTAAAATATAATTTTTTTTTCTAATAGCTTGGTCAGAACCATATATTGTAGAATATTCTCTTGAATATGGCCTTTTACGATTATCTGAACAAATGCGTGATCGATATCATGTGCCAGTTATGAAAGTTGTACTTAATCCTGAAACAGATAAATGTTTTGGTGATCGAACAGCTCGTTTTATGTTGAATAATTTTCTTGGCTACGATGATGTATTGATTGGTTCAATCAAACAGTTGGCTGAACGTGAAAATAATCGTGGTTTCGTTCGAAACGTTGTCACTGGTGAACATTTTCGTTTTGTAAATGTTTGGATGACTCGTACATCATATCTTGCAGCTGCTTTTATAATGATTGTTTTTACATTATTTGTATCGATGTTGATTCGATATAGCCATCAACAGGTGATGATATAGATCTTTATTTTGTTTTAGATATAGAAAAATTTTAACTTTTATTTATATATTTTTTTTAGGTATTTGTATTTGTTTCAGAATTTTTACGATCATTAGAATTACAACAGCCTGCAACAAGAATATCATTTTTGGCCGCTTCTTTGGTCACCGTAATACTTGCATTGATTGGAATGGAAACAATAATGTATGAATTTTTCTCTGATTCATCGATCACATTCCATGTGATAATAATGGTATGGGCAGCCGATCAATTTGATTCATTGGCCATACAATCACAGATTACAAGACGACATTTTCTTCGATTTTTCTACCTCTATCAATTTGTATTCTATGCCTATCATTATCGATTCAATGGACAATATTCTGGATTGGCATTGTTGACTACAATGTTGTTTACATATCATTCAATGATTTATTTTTTCCATCATTTTGAATTGCCATTATTACGAGCTACATATTTACAACAACAACAACAGCAACAACAACAACAACAACGACATTACCAAGTGCCAGTACAGCAGCAACAAATTTTTGTTTCATCATCATCATCATCAATGACTGATCATAATAATGGTGAACAACAACAACAGCAGCCAAATTCACAATCTTCAGCCACAAATGATCAAGAAACAATGACAATAGATTTATCGGGTGATGAACAACAACAATCTAATCATTCCGAACATGGATCTAATGGCCAAATTGAAACAATAAATGATGATGATGATAATATATCGATAAACCAAACTAATGGTAATCAACAACAAGAAAGAGAAAAATCTACATTAACTTTAAATCAAGCTGCCATAACTACCGATACAACAATCATTTCGAATCAAATTGATGAAGATTCATCATCTACTACTGGCACCATTGATGAATGAAAAAAAAACAAAACAAAATAGAGATTTAGAATGGTTTATTATCGAATATTCTATCTCTATTCTAGTCTCTCTCTCCTTCTCTCTCATTTAAACATGATGTTTCGTCAAATGTTTTTGTTTTTATAAATCAAATCAAATCAACAACCACCACCACTACTGCAAAAAAAAAAGAAAGAAAAAGAAAATCTAAATAAATTTATTTTGTGATATATCTATATATGAAGATTATGATGATGTTTGTCATTTTCAATGGATTTTTTTTTCTTGTGTGCAAACAGTTTTTCAATTAGAATTGATTGTTATTTTCAAAAATTTTTTTATTATTGTTCACATTTGTAAATCATTTATTTTCATCATTATATCATCAAATCATCTTAAAAATAGGGGCAATACACCGTTTTGTTGTTGTTGTTGTTGGAGATACATTCGAATTTTTGAATCACATTCACATATATCACACACACACACACACACACATATACCACAAATTAATTGTAGAGATCTCGCGCACACGGCTCAATCAGATTTATAAAGATGATGTTTAATTTTTTCTTCATTCATTATCAATTTTTGTTTGTGTGTGTGTGTGTGTTTGTGTCTGTTTTGTTGTTTATTTGATGATTGTCGTTGAAAATTATCATTATCACATTATATAGCAAAATGTCTATTAATAAATTTCTTTCTTTGTTTTTTTTTACTGAATTGAAAAATTGATAATTTGATGATGATGGTGAGGATGATGAGTATAGTAAAAAAAACACAACTATTAAAGTAGTAGTAGTGGTTGGGTTGTGTTTTCTAAAAAAAAATGGTCACAGATTTTTTCATTCGAAATGAAGAATATTTATTTTTGGAATCAAATTAAATCTGATGATGATTATTTTTTTTATAGAATATTCAACTTTTTGTAGGAATAGCGCGTTCCAATTTGTATTTTGAATTTGCGTTTAAAAGAAAGAAAGAAAAAAAAATGGTAAACGTGCCTAATGGCACGAGTTGACGCATGCGCTCATTTTTTTTAAAATTTTGGACGATGTTATGTTGATCACGCACACCATTTCTTTACACAAGATATATAGAGAGAAGATAGAAATAAACATACAAATTCAATTCAATCCTCGAATCCATCCATCCATCCATCCATATGAGTTAATTGACAGAAATAAAAAGAGAAAAGCCATATGATTATGGCCAACGACTGTTTAATTTTTTTTTTTTTATTTCCATAAAAACTTGAACCAAACACACCATTAACCACTACATACACAATCATCACAACATTGTTGACGACAAGATAAAAAAAAAAAAAAAAAATTCAATGTTATTGATGATTGTTTGTTGATGAATAATGTATCTTTTGGATGGAGATACATGATTTGATGTGATTTGTGATCATTTAAACAAGAAACGGTAACGGGTGAAAAAAAAAAAAAATCAACCACCATCACCAGTAGCTCATAAACTTGTTGTTGTTGTTGTTGTCAAAATGTTTTGATTGTTTCTCAATTTTTTTTGTGTTGTTGTTTTGATGTTGCTTTAATCATTTGAAATTTTCAAGGTACATGAAATGAAACCTTTCAATTTTGATTTTTATCCACTATAACGGTAAGAATTCATATTCGACATTGAACATTAATAATAATAAGGGTAGCTTTTTTTTTATTTTTTTTTTTAGTTCAATGTATAAAAATCCTTGATAAATTCAATGTGTTTCAACGCGAGAGGCGACTATTAAATTTTTTTTTGCTTCCTCTTGAATCTTACCATCAATTTACTACCGCGCTCACCTAATCAAATTGTGTTTATTATTTTGTACTCAATTTTATCAACATTTTTTTTTCTGGTGTTAATCATCATCGTAACGTTATCACAAATATACCACCACCACCACCACCACTTCTCATCATCATCATCATCATATAATTAGATGAATGATAACCACATGACTTTGAATGAATACATCACTGTTTTGTTGTTCTTCCATACAAACAAACAAACAAAACGACCACAACAACAACAACAACAAAATCAATTTGACGAATCTTTCCTCATTGAAAAAAATCCGTCAACAATATTTTATTAGGTTTGTTTATTTCTCTCTCTTTATACGTGTTTTTTGCGTGTGTACGTGCGTTTTATGACCTTTAATTGATGAACAATAAAATTTTTGTTTTGGATACATCATCCAATTTTCGTGTTGTTTTCTAATTTTTTTTGTTTCTTGTTTCATAATTTAATCAAACAGTAAAAATTTCAATGTATCCACCATCGATTTCTTGTACATTAAAATTAACCACAATGGTCAATGGCGGTAGTCTTGGTGGACCAAATGTTCAACGACAATTACGTTTACAAGTGTTGAATCTATATAAAACGGTGAGTGTAATTTTTTTTATTTCTTTCCGGTAAATTAATCTAAATCCTGGATAATCTCTCTCTCTCTTTAATTTACAGCTTCTTTATTATGGCCGAGATTATCCATTAGGTTATAAATATTTTCGTGATCGTTGTCATAAATCATTTGTTAAGAATCGTGATGAAACCGATCCACAACAGATACAGAAACATATTTCACGTGGTGAATTCATTATTAAAGAATTAGAAGCATTATATCGTTTAAGAAAATATCGTTATTTAAAACAACGTTATTATCCAGAAAAATTGGATGACGATGATAATGATTTGGCCAATAAAATTGATCCGAAATTAATATTGAAAAAATTTGAAGCCAAAACAACAACAACAACAACAAATCAACAACAAACATCAGTAGTAATGGATTCTATGAAAGAAGAGATTAAACAATAAAATGAAAAATGAAAAAAATTCAAATGACTGAATGAATTAATGAATGAACGAATGGATGGATGGATGGATGGATGGATGGTTTACACGGAATATATTCATCATCATCATCATCATCATCATTCGATACTCAAAAACATGTGATACACAGATTCATTTGACTTTTTGCTGCTGCTGCTACTGTTTTTTTTCCTTTGTAATGTCTGTTATTACAAATGTGTCTACTAATCAGTCAAACACACACACACACACACATAAACAACACATTCATATCTCAGCAATTATTTTCCATTTTTTTTTTATTTCCATCATTCAATAAACACAATCGGATAATTCATCTGATGATATATCATGTAAATTCATTGCTCAGTTATTTTACAGTTTGTAGGTTGTTTTTTTTTACTTTTTCAATTTGAGAATTTGTTCAAACAAAACCAAATTGAATGGTTTTTTTTTGATGTGTAGAGACCTTGTGGCCTTTCATTTTTTTTTCATGTGAGTAAAAAATCATCCACATTTGTGATTTTAAGGGTGGGGTGAAAAAAATAAATTTCAGATTTTTTTTAAATGTTTCTTAATCACAGATTATGGTAAAAAAAAAATTTATTTACACACCCACACTCACACACACACACACACGAATTTTATTATTCCTGATTGATTGATTTTCGTTAATCAAATTTGAAGAATAAAAATGAATTAATTAATATAATCAGAATTGATTGATTGATTGAATTAATTAAATTGTTTAATAAATAATTGGTGTCGATGTTTGTTGTTCACGATCAGACGAAAATTGTATTGGATTAATGCTAGCATCAACTGGATATCTTGAACCATGTGATAGATATGGATCAACAAAATCATCAGTACGAAGCATCACTCTTGGTGTTGACACAGTAAATGTCTATAAATTGGAAATTTTTTTAAATCATTAGATTAGATTTGTAATAATGAATGAATGAAAGCAAATAAAAAAGTTACCTGAAATTCACGGGTATAAGTTAGAATAAAAAAATCTAAAGCCATAGCAGCAACCCATTCACTAATAGCACTAATTACATGGGTACGATAACCACCATCTTTTGGTTGCCAATTAGTTGGATCACGGCCATGAAAATGATGAATGGATATTTGGCCCATAACACAGGTGATTAAAAATGATATAGTTATAATCACAGACAATATTGTACGAAACCATGCCATTTGTTTAGTATTCACTAATGGTACCATACGAAATGAAAGCCATGATTGTAGCCAACAATAAACGGAACCAAAACCAAACGACATTAATGCACCAAGTAAATGGATTTTAAATAATTCAATTTCACGAAAATTTGCCACAACAGATAAACCAATAGCGGATAATATGCCAAAATATAATGCAAAACGATTCAGTCTGAATATTTTATTCGATGTTACTGTTAGATCATCACGATAATATTGTTCAACATGTTTAAATCTCATATATATTGTGATGGCAACTATATTTTATAATTTGAAAATGAAAAATCAATATATTCAATCATCAATTCAATTTAATACCTAATGCTGAGACCATATTCAAAGATTGAGCAAAAATATTTGATTCAGGAACATGTGTTCCAGTATCACTAATATATGGAAATTGAACTTCAACATGATTTAAAGAGATTGCGATAACATATCTATTTTGATCATATATATAGGAAAAAAGATTCATTTAAAAAATATTCATCAAATAACCATCGATAAAAAACACATACGATATTATAAAAGTGGATGGAAGACATACAAATACAGCCAATGGTAAATAATGAAGATTATCCCAAGACATGATGATTGTACACAGAGAGATATTGGATGGAATAATAAATGATTTGTAAAGATTCAAAATTATATGAATGAGATCAATAATTCATTGTATTGCTAAATGAATAAAAAAAAATTATTCGATAATATTTAGATTCTTTTTCGTATCGTGGAATTAGTTTCCTGTTTAGAAAAAAACTCATTGGCATCAATATCATCAAAGTATTATGTTTGATTGACACACACACACACACAATGTGAATCAACGCCTATTTGGATGGAAAAAAAGTGCAATATTTATCAAATTGTTGAAAATATATGAAAATAATCACCAAAATCAAATATCAAACAACAACAAAGCGAACAATGAAACGAAAGAATGTGTTGACTGTTTTAGATTGCGTATACGCAAAAATCAAAAAAAAACAAGCGATGGTCGTCTACTATCGATATAAACAATCGTTTTTTTTTGAAAAAAGTGTAAATTTTATTTTAATTTTTCAAATTTTAAAATCAAAAATAAACCATTTTATTTGGATGGATAATTTGTAGTTGCGATGATTATTACCAGAGATATGATATATTTTTCGAAATATTTTCCAAACGATTGTGGACAACTTTTAAAATTTCATCATGTACATCGTCAATAGTTTTATTGGTCGTATCAATGATCTGAATAGTGTGTAGATGGAATAGATTAAAATTGTTAATATTTAATAAAAATATAAATGATGATGATGATAACTTACATTCCAATAATTTTTATCAACAAGTTTTTCATATGCTTCATAAACAGATTTTTGAAATTCTTTTCTATCATAAATTTCTTGGCCAAAATCTTCACGTTTACTTATAGCATTGATATCGGTGGTCAAAAATAAAACACAATCAGGTTTAATCAGTCCTTTTTCCGGTGAACAACACCAATCAAAATCTAAACCTTTAGCCGATGTATATGCTACACCTGAATATGAATAACGATCAATGACAAATGTGGTACCGGCTTTGACCATTTCTAACATTTGATCAAATTTTTCCCATCGATTTGCCGCGAAAAGTAGATGAATAACATGATCATTCAGTTTAGTTTGTCCACACAAATATTGATTGATTAGATTTCCAGTCATTGTAGAACGATCAGGAAAACGAATCAATTCAGTATCTTTTCCTTGATTTCGTAATGATTGAACCAATTTTTGTGCTTGTGTTGTTTTACCAACACGATCCAAACCTTCCAGTACAATAATCATTCCTCTTTTCGATGACATTTGTTTCGATGTTTTGTCAATTTTGATAAATTTTCGGAAAAAAAACTGGTGGATAATCAAAAAAAAAATCAATGCGAAAAAATCGTAGCCGAGAAAAAAAAATAAATCACACATGTCAACAAACGATGATAGTGCCATCTTTTGAATTTTAATAAAATTAAATTTTTTAATTCTTAAAAATATGATCCTCTGTTGGTTCATCACATAATTCGAATGATTTTCGTAATGGATTATAACAAAAATGTTTATCACCATGAATCAATTGATTATTGGTCAAACTTAATGTATTGCGCATAATCTGGCAAAGATCTTCAACAAAATAATTTCCCGATGTTTTCAATTTAAAATCCTGAATTTTTTCCATCAAAAAACGTTCACTAATTCTTGCACCATTATCATCAACACAATAACATATTTGTTCATTTGAACTACATTGGATTGGTTTGAAATTTCCTAAACCATTACAGCGTAATATTCCTACTGGTAATATACCATTTTTTGAAAGATATTCTTCTAACGCACAACGACAATCAATTTCTTGTGATAATTTTGAATCAGCTCTATATGGTGTAATTGGATTGCCATCCGGATCATGACAAGTACAAGCAGCTATATTTGAAACAGAAATTGAATTCATTCATGAATTATTTTCAATAGAACAAAAAAAATTTAACACCATAACAAACCATCTGGACATTGTACACGATAAAAATTATCATCAAAACCACATTTTGTATTCGTTAATCCTTCTAATGTTGTTCCTTTTTTGGCAAAATGATAAACCATTTTACTTGAACGATGTACTTCGATAAAACATTCTTCTTCATAACTTTTTTCAATCGGTTTGTCCACTAATTTTTTTTTCTGTGTTTCTTCATCAACTATACAAACACAAATGAAATGAATGAAAAAAAAAAATTTCTGAATACATTAAATCATTAATGATCATTTATTACTTACAGCATACCAATCTGTTGAGTGCACCATAAACAACAGCTGATTGCCATCTTACATATTCTGGTTTCAATGGTTGATATAAGGTTTTTGCATTATTTCTTGCCCAATCATTATTAATAATTTCTTTTGGATCCAATATTGGTTTACCGGTTTTTTCATTCACACACAAACAAGTTTCATTCATACATTGAACTTCTTGAAAATTTCCTGAAAATTTACATTTCATATGTGTATCCGAATTGAATACTGTTATCACTTTATCCAATTGTGCATTATGTTTATTCGATGGATCTAAACGATCAATGGCCAATGCTAATTTATCTTGCATTGTTTGTGAACATTTACATGTTTGATTCACGCTACGGTGGCTATCAATAATGCCAAATGTTGGTTTACCATCATTTGGATTCACACAATAAGCTCTATATATATAGGAAAATAAAAAGAAATGTTATTAAACATTACAAAGGTCAACATTGTTGATGAATTTACTTGTTTCTACTTGGTTGTTTCGGTGCATAAGTACCATCAAATGTACAATGTGGTAAAAATTGTTCATGTGCATATGGTATCGGAAATAATGATTTAATAGCATTATTTGCACTCATTATGTAGAACATTTTATTCTGTCTTACTGACCAACGATTATGATATTCACGTAAACATGGTTTTGTTGATGATAACATCTGTTCTAAATCTGGTAATCGACAACGTTTTATCATATGATCACAAATCATACCATTTTTACAACGTTCAATTCTATCATCCATTGACATTGATTCTGGTTCACATACATCATTTTCATCTAATAATTTAACACAAGCTGGACAACATTTATGACCAACAATATTTTCAATCAATTCATAACCATTTGGACATGATTCAATGGATAAACATTGAACATGTTCACAAAAATTATCCACAAATATTTGGCCACATTTTTTTCTATATTCATTTTCATATTGAGAATTTTTATTCAAATATCTTAATTGAAAACATTCAGCTTCATTGATTATATCCGGTGACATGGTTGTTGTAGCTGTTGAACAAATTGATTTTAAATTAATAATGAATAAAATCAATAGAAAAATTGATGAATAAAAAGCATTCGTCATCATGATTATAATAATTAGATGATGGATTTGATACACATACACACACGCACAAAAACGATTGAAACAATCAAAATGATAATCAATCAAATCAATGATTTCTGATCATCAATTTGATTGGTAAACCAATTTTTTTTATTTCCTAGGTGATTGTTTTTGCTGATAAAGTAAATATCAGGATTAGTGGTGTAGAAAAAAGATTAATAATTGCACACACACACAGAGAGATCCGCATTGGATGGCAATGGCAGGCAGTCAAAAGAAAAAAAATTTTAATTTTAATTCTTTGAATCCAAGAAAACAAAAAAGAAAAATTAATTTTTGGCAACAAAATAGCAATGATGATGAAACAACAACAATAAAAACAATGATGAAATTTGATAAAATTTGGACAACAGAATCGGTAACGATGTAGAATCATTTTTCACTATGATATGTGTGTGGGTGTGTGTTGGGAATCGACGATTTGAAACAAAAAAAAGAAAAGAAAAAAGAAACGAATTAAAATTTTTTTTATTTTTCATTCATACATAGAATATATATATTTGTATTATTATACATACATTGATTTTCAATAAACTGACAATAAGGCATTGGTAAACGTAATTGATTATAAGTTCGTAAATCAGCAACCGGTTGTGACATTAGATTGATTGGATCCGGTATCCAACTACCATTACGACAAATCAATACTGATGGTCCCATTAAATTGTAACCATCATGACAGCTATAATTGACACGACTATTTTCTTTCGGTGTATTCCAACATGTTTTTTCACCAATCAATTGTGATGTTCCTATTAGAAAGAAATATTAAAAAAAACAAACGATAGAATCATCATTTTCAAAAAAAAATCCAATCCAATCCAAAGTAGTAAAAAAAAAAAAAAACATACCATTATTGATTGATGGTGGTAAATCAATGCAACCAGCATCACCAAAAAGTTTATAATTGATGCCCATACGCCATGAAGTCATCAATACTAATAGATGACAATGGAATGAAAGTTGTCCAGGATATTTGGTAAAATTTTCAGCTAAATAACGTCTTTGTATTGCAATTTCATATGTACCATTTGATAATTGTTCAATCATATCGAATGTTTCACCAGCAAAATATTGATCAGTCACGCTATTTGTATAAGTGAGAGAGAGAGAGAAAAAAACATTGAAAAAGGATAAATCTTTTTTGATTCAAAACCACATGTCATGTCATGTCATGTCATGTCATGATTAAGTTTTCAACAAAAAAAAAAAAAAAAAAAAATCACTTCATGAATCCATCTATTTTTGATTGATTTGAAAATCTCACTGGTGAATATAATAAATAAATACATGATATATATACATACTCATTATGAATACTACAAGCTGGTGATGGTTTTGGATACATTCCAATACAATGAAAACTAATTTCTTCAACACAGTTGACCATATCGGTTTTGGTTTTCCAATTTGAATCTTTACAGGCATCTTTTTTTTCCCATTCATAAGACAAAAAGAGACAACAACAAAAAATGACCAAAAGAAAAAAAAAAAAAATATGAGAAATGAATTGAAGCGAAAAATTGGAAAAAAAAAAAGACAAAGAAAAAAAAAAGATTGTCTTGTGAAATCAAATCATCTATATTCTGAGCAGCAGCAGCAGCATTTTATATACATGATATTCTGATGATGATGTTCTGGAGGGAAAAAAATTTTTTTTTTTCTGTTTGACCGTTATGTTATTTAAAGATGATTATTATATGATGTGAAAAAGAGAAAAAGAGAGAGAGAGTGGAAGGGCACAGAGATATAGATAGAAAAAAAACCGTGGACGTAAGCGAAAAAAAAAATTTTTTTTCTGTTTCTCAGAATCTGCCGGAACAACAAAAGGCCAACCAACTTGATATTTTGATATGATATATGTGTAGAATTTTGTTGAACAAAATTTCAATGTATATTGTACATGATGGAACTAGTGATTTTATTGGAAACATGGACTGGATTTACTAGAATAAATAAATAAATGAATGATAAAAACGGAAAACAATCCTAGAAAAAAAAACATGTGGACAAAGCTGAATATGGTGATATTTTTTGAATTTAAAGTTTACAACAAGAACAAAAATAAACATATGTGTACAATGAAAATGAATAATAAATAAATCAAATTAAGATGGAAATGAAAATATTATTCATCATCATCATCATCATGGTGCGTGAGCAATGAAAAATAGATAAATAAATAAATAAAATTAGATCATGTCATCCAGATTCTAGATTCTTGATTATCATTATTATTGGATCAAATTTCTTTGCTATAACACGTTTTAGTTGATATATATACCACTATTAATGTTGTTGTTCTGCATATGGAAACATTGTTATTATTGTCACATGTCAAACAAACAAACAAAATGAAATTGAGAGAGATATATGGAAATTAATCTGATGATGATGATGATGATGAAGGCGAGAAAATTTGACAAGATGAATCATGTTCCAGGAACAAAAATGAAACAAACAAAAAAAAATTCTTGATTATTGGTTGCTGCTGCTACTGCTGTCGTCAGCTGTGATGATGAATTATTTGATGATTGTCTGTTTTGTTTGTTTGTTTTTGTTTTAGGGAAAGAATTTTTTTTTTTTTTTTTGACATTATAATTACCAACAATAATAATCATTTGTGCAGAATTTTCCGATTCATTATATTCAGTAATTACACGACATGAATATTGGCCAGCAAAATTCTTGTCAACATTGAATAATGTGACAGTGTTTAATAAATCTTTTGAATTATAATCAACGTGGCCACGAAATAATGACAATGCTAATGGACGTTTGTTTGGCATTGAAAAATAAACCTAAAAAAAATACAATAAATGATGATGATAGAACAATGAGAAAATAAAATAAAATTTTCATTTTTTTTTAGCCATCACATACCTCTTGACCATCCTTTTTCCAATTAACAGCCAATACTCTTTCATATGGTTTTGTAAACATATAATGGCAAGATAATTGTACACTTTCACCAGCTATAACATAATCAGTACGGCCACTTTTAATTGACATGATATGTACTTCTGTAACCGTAATTGTCCATACGGATTTGGTCAAACAAATTGTCAGAAATATTCCTATATTGATAAATGAATGAATGAAAAAAAAGAGAAAAAAAATTGAGCACAAAATAACACAAAACAGCGAAACACACACAAAAAAAACAACAAAACATGACCAATCAAGATTCGAAAGCCAAGTCTCATGGTCATCAAAATCATAAAAAGATGAAATTTTTTTTTCATTTCTATTTTTTTTCGTTGATCATTTCAGTTTTTTTCTATGTCCATTTGTAGGCCGAAAAAAAATTGAACAAAGAAAAAAACATATGAAGATGATCAAAAACCAAACTAGATCAAGTGAGAGAGAATGAAAATGGAATTTTATTTGAGAAGAAAACCAAAGATAAACCACCAATATACAAACAAAATGATCATGATGATGATAATATGCGGACATACGGATGTAATATTTTTGTCTGTCTGTTTGTTTGTTTGTTTGTTGATGGCGATCGTTGTATTTTATTTATTTTTTATTTTGTTCATGTATGGTCATCATGATGATGATGATGATAATAAAAAAAGCTAGTGCCGAAAAAAAAATTACTTAGATTGAATTAGATGTCTGGCCAGTGGTCAAGCCCAGGCCGGATACCCGGTGGATGGGCCCACTTGCACACACAACACTAATCAAGTTAATATATCGTGAATCGAATGAGTGTGTGTGTGTGTGTGTGTGTGAGTTTGTTGGTCCATTGTGATTGTTTTTTCTCATTGTTCAAAAAAAAAAAAAACCTACAAGGCTAAAAAACATAAAAAGTTTCGGTGAAAATTTTTTTGTTGTTTTTGTTGTTTTTTTGCGGTGAAAAATTCTTTTTGTTGTTGTTGTTGTTGTTTTTGTTTTTATTTTTCAAACATTAAAAAAAAAAAAAAATCCTAATACAATCTGACTGTTTCTGTTGTATTGTATGTTGTGTGTGTGTGTGTGTTTGTCGATTAAGTTGTGTCTTAAATCAAATTCTTCAAAACAAAACATTAACAATTAGTTGTTAAATTCCAATGAAAATTCTATTCTACAGAATTATATTTGTTGTTGTTATTATTATTATTGTTGTTGTTGTAAGCTAAATAGAATGGAATTTAGGTCAAAAATTCAACTGAAATTAACCAAAAAAACAAAAATAAAACAAAAAATTGAATTGAATTGAATTGAACTGAATGATTTGCCTATCTTTGTTTTGTCTCTATCTCTCTCTCTATCTATTCATCATCATTGATTCAAATATCAAACACAATGAATGCTGATCAAGCATCAAGATCAAACACACACACAAGCAAAGAATCGAAATTTGAAATAGGAGGAGAAAATGTGCAAAAAAAAATCCGTTTCAAACAACAACAAAAAGAATAATTCCAGGCACGAAACAATGAGTGAGAGAGAAAGAAAAACTTTGGAATTGCAAAAAAAAATCAATGAAATAAACAAACAAAATTTGAATGATAATGATTAACTTTTTTTTCTTGTTTTGTGTAGAATGAATGAATGACGATTCTAACAACAACAACAACAACAAATAAATTCTGAATTTATGATTCAAATTCAAAACAATGGAAATGAATTTTTCATGTTTTGTTTCATTACAGAATAATTCCAGAATATGAAACAAACACACAGAATGAGGAATATGTGTGTTTTTGTTTTTCACCCACAAATAATCAACACATTTATAGATTTGTAAAAGTTGTAGTGTACACATATATATTCTTTATGTATTTTGATTTTCTTCATTTTTTCTTTTTTTTCTGGCCATAAATAACTTGTTCATTTGGTTTGGAACATAATACACCCACGCACAAAACAAAAATTTTCGTTATGATCACAAATTTGATCATGTGTTTTATTGATGTTTCCTTTTTTTTTTTTTTTTTTTTTTTTTTGGTTTGGGCACCCAAACACACAATCATCAAAAAAAAAAAAAATTTTCTGCTCGCCCAATCGGTCAAGGAGGAAACCAAACGAATTAAATGATCAAAAACACACACATATAGAGGAGGATTAGGTTTTCATTTTTTTTTTGTCTGGCAACAGTCTGTGTGTGTGTGAAATTGAACAATTGAATGGTTTTTTTTATGGAGAAAAAAATTGGCCCTCATTTTTTTCCTGTTTTGTTTCATTCTCTAAGATGAGTTTTAAATTCCTTTTTTTTAAAATGAATTCTGTATGTAACAGAATTCGAATGTTTTAAATTGAATAGGCTGTAGATGATTAAAATTAAATTCATTTTTTTAATCTTTTCAACAAGAATTTTGTTTCTAAGAAAGAAAAAAAAATATGAAAAGATGTGCTTACTATGCATAATTTAATTTTTTTTAATACCACCATCATCATCATCATCATCATCATAGTTGCCGACATTATCATCTTGTCATTATATTCATCATCATCATCATGATGGTGATGGTAAGCGCTTATCCGCTTTGTTGCCATATAATGAATATTCTTTAATTCTTCACAGACCAATAAAAATGAAAAGAAAGTAAATGTTTTTTTTTCTTGTGCCATGTGCAAAAAAAAAAATATTCTGATTCTGAAAGCTAAAGAATGAGAAAAACTTTAGGCCACAATTAACCGTAAACAAAAAATGATTGGACATATAAACCAAAAAAAAAAAAAAGTGTTAATGTGAAATTTTGATGAATTTGATCACTAATCATATGCCTGAAGATGAATTGGTGATTGGTGATTGGTGATGACGACAATTTTAATCATCATCATCATTTCATTATGACGTCTAGATTTTTTTTTTCATTGGATCAATATGTGATTATTCTGGAGATGTGAGATAAATAAATAGAGAAAAAAAATGATGGCCAGAAACTTTTGAGAGAGAGAGAGAGAGATTCAAACATATCTCCATTCTCAATAATTATATCAATCATATTTTTTTGGATCATATAATGATATGATATGTGTGTGTATCTGTGTTCCTGGATCGTACCGAATCATATGGTGAGAGATAGAACCATAATGCGAATTCATGCGTGAACAACAAAAAAAAACAATGTATCATATTGAACCGGAAATTTTGTAGAAACAAAAAAAAATTCCTGTCGTCTGATGTTTGTCGTTTGTAAACAACAACAACAACAACCAGAAACAATCTATACGAGAAAGAAAATAAAAGTTGAAAACTTTTTGAATTCCAACAAAACAACAACAACAACAATTCTTGATTCTATGAATTACATTGTAAATTTTTTTTTTGGTTCTGGAAATGCATCATGAAATGTTGATGATTTCAACGTTTTTTTTGTTTGGTTTTGTTTGTTTCTTGATGATTTCAGATTCTAGTTGGGTGATAATTAAAATAAATAAATAAAAATTTTTCACGACAAGAGAGATTAGAGATCAGTACAATAGACACATGAAATTAACAATTAATCATAGCCAGAAAAAAAAGAAAAAAAAAAAAAAGTAAAACATATTGCTTTCCATATGTGTTTCTATTTTTGGTGGTTTAATTTTTTTTTGTCATTGGCAAAACATCACCACCATTACTGCCACCAGAATCAGCAGCAGCAGGAGCAGCAGTAAAAAAATCAGAATTTCGGCCAAAAATAATTAATTCTAACACACACACAAGAAACATGACCATAGGGACTTTAATCATCATCATCATCATCATCATATTCATTAAGTCGCTTATCGCTTATATTTCATTATTATTATGGATGTTGTGCAAATGTTGATGATGAATATAAATTTCTGGCTGTTTTTTTTTTGTTTTGTTTTTTAGTTGACTTTTATTTGGGTTCATTTTGTCATTACATTTATATTAATCTATATACTACCACATAAGTCCTAAGGGTTTCTAAATGTATTTGAATTTGAAATTTTTCGTTTTTGTTTTCATTTTCATTTGCCCAATCTTTCTTTATCTGTAAATCAGATGGCAAAAATAGCAAATGGTAAAACTTTCAAATTGTATTGAATTCTCAGTGTATAAATAGAGAGAGAGAGAGAGAGAGAGAATGAAGTATAGAACTCTTGAGAATGAGTAAATAAAAAAAAAGTGAAACACAGAATCATCAGAATCGTCATTTGAATTGATACAATTTTGTTCTACTATGGATAGAATTTGAAATTTGAAAAAAGAGAGAAAAAACTTAATCTTTTTTCTCTTTTGATTACACCATACACCAGAATCTGACTAGAAAGATAGAAAAAGGAAACGATTTTAAAATTCCATCTAATTTTTCATGAATATTTTATGAAAAAAAAACAGAATGAGATAATTCCAAAAGAGAATTTTTTTTTCTAGTCATCATCAACTGGAAACTGGTAATCATCGATCGATGATAATGCTATCTCAACTGTGTATTCATGATTCTATTTTTATCTCAAATTGCAACACACTAGCTCAAAAAAAAAAAAAAAATGCACCGTAGAATTTGAAGATATAAATGGCTTCTTCTACGATACAGAATCTCAATTTTCAAATAGAATCGTGTGTGTGTGTGTGTGTATGTATTTTTATTTCAATTCTCAATAGAAAAAAAAACTAATTAACTTTCAATTAAAATATCTTGTTATGTCATGTGTTGTGTTGTTGCTCATCATTGATTGACATGTTGAAGAATGTTTTTTTTTTGTTGTTCATGTTGATGCTCAAGATGCTTATAACGTACATATATCAAAATTGACGACGATAACAACACATATAATTTCACATATAAAAATACCGTGTTTTATTATTCTTTTAGATTAGCTTATATAGTAAAATTCAAGTTATAATTTGTTCTGTGCTATCAATTGGATGTACAACAGTACGCGGAAGTTGCGATTGTTTTTCTAACCGATGATCAAAGGTTTACGGATGTTCTTCGCATCCTTTGATGTAGGTTATAATTGTTTTGTCTATTTTATAATAATCAAAACAATTCCCTAAAATGAATCTTTGTTTGTGTTTTACATTAATTGGTATTTGTTTTGATGTTGATCGCATCCTTTGATGCTCGATCATTTTGGCTTCGATCGTGGGATTGTTATGATTTTATGAAAACCATCACAATTCCCTGACACATATCTGACATATTTTTTTTTCTATTTTCATCTACTGGGATTTGTGTGTCTGGATTTAACTCAAAAACAACAATAAAAAACAAAACACAATCATTGCCTATATGTTTGACATGAATCAGTAACAGATGAAACTATTGGTTCAAAATAATGCAAAACAAAATTATTATATAATGATGGTTTTGATTTGACATATTCTTGCCATATTCTTGATTCATCATATTCTTTGATTCTCAGAATAAAATGAACAAAAAAAATTTTTTTTTTGATTCAACCATTAACACGCACCACAGAAAAAAAAATCTGAATCATTGATTTTTCAAAATCGATTCTGGTTTTCTTTCGTTTCTTTGTTCAACCATCCACCAACCAACCAACCGACAAACCAAAGACCGGAACCATTATTATTGTCATTGACAATAATAATGGAGAATAAAAAAAAATGTGAAATCAACAAAAAAAAAGGAAATCTTACCTAATGTTATCACCAAATTGAAAATTTTTGGCACATTTTTATTACTATTGTATGGTATTAGTTTTTGTCGTAATAGTCGTCGTCGTCGTTGTTGTTGTTGTTGTTGTTGTTGTTGTTGTTGTCGATTTTGATCTAATTTCAATTCAATACAATTGCTGATGTTATCATCATCATCATCATTATCATTGTTAATAGATTTTCGATGGATTCTAGTTGTCGTCTTTGTCAAATTTAATCTGACAATAGATTTATTATCATTGTTGTTACTTTTGTTGTTGTTGTTGTTGTTGTTGTTGTTGTTGTTGTTGTTGTTGTTTGCTGTTATTATTATTGTCATTAGTTTTCCATGGTAATAATAATAATAAAGGCAACCAAAAATGTTGCTGCAGTTGTTGTCTAAGCGGTGGTTGAAGAAAATTAATGAATCGATCAATGATTAGTGTCGTCGTGTTCGTCGTCGTCGTAGTCGTCTTCCACGATGATGATGACGATTGTAATTGTTGTGGTTGTGAAATTGAAAAAATATTGCCATTTTCTTTATTTTTTAAAGGCTTACAATCATCATCATCATCATCGTAATCATTATTGATTATTTGATTTGAAAATAAAATTAAGTTGTCATTGTCATCATCATCATCATCATTTTTCTGTTCTAATAATGGTTTACTATGATTATTTCTCCTACACAACCACAACCACCAACACCAACACCACAACAGCAAATGAAATTTCAATATAGCACTAATTATCCATATGATGAGGAACCAAGGCACATGATGATGAATATAATCAAGAATTTTGGCCATTTTTATTCTGATTAAATCGATATCCGTTGTCGTCGTCGTCATCGTTGTTGTTGTTGTTGTTGTGGAATAAATTAGTGATGAAATCAAGGCCATAATAGTGATGAAAATTGATAATATATAACAATAACAATGAATAGAGACTGAAATCAGTGATAATAATATAATCAATGACAACGATAATGGCCACAACGACCATTGAAATTGTTTAATGATTGAAATTTGATCATCATCATCATCATCATCGTTTTGGTGATGGTGATTATAATCAGAATAATAAATTGTTGATTGAATTATAATTATAATGAACATCAATAACGATGGCAGTATCGATAATGAAGAAATTGAAATTGAAAATTCGATTACATTACTGTAGCTGGTGGTAACGGTAGTGATCATGATCATGTTGATGATGATGATTATCACAAATGAAGAATGGCGGTGATTTCAATTTTGTTTTTAGGCTTTTTTTTTATTCTGGTTGGCAAATAGAATGAAAAAACAAAAAACCAAACACACCAAAATTACATTTTAACACAAAATGAGATTTGATTTGATTTCTGAATTGGGCGTGTGGTGATTTTTTTTTCTATTTTCACTGGCAGTATCGATTATCGATTATCGATTGTGTGTGTGTGTGTGTAGCAATAAAGTAATTATATTCTTTGATAGTGATTCCGGTTCGTTTGTTGTTGTTGTTGTTGTTGTGTTGTAACAGAATCGAAATGGAATTAATTTCTGTATCGGATATATGAATATTATTTACAAACATACAACAGAATCTTCTCAGTATCAATGTATTTAATGTGAATTAAATGATCATATATATTCATTTGTTTGTTTGTTGTCCACCAACGTAGGGTTAATGGGTATATCATCGATAATGATTATTATTGAAAAAGCAAACAAAAAAAACTGATTGAACACACACACACACACACCCAAAACAAGTTGAAAAAATGTCAATCAAAGATCGATTAAATTCATTTCAATTATCGTCATCGTCGTCGTCGTCGTCGTCGTATTCGTTGTTATTCAATTTGGCTATTTTCACTAATGTTTTTTTTTGGGGAGGGGAAATTGAAACGAAATGGAGAAAAAAAATGAGAAAACTTGGAATTATATAATGGATAAAATGATGCAATAAACAAACAAACAGAATTCATAATCATAATCATCATCATCACATACAAAGGAAACCGACATAATGATGATGATGATGATGATGGAAAACACTAAAAAACCAAAACCGAAAAAAAAGATGAAACTTGAAGAAATAATAAATAAATGTATAATATCCGAATGATGAGTGGAAATATAACCATCAAACACACACACACACACCATCACAGAGAATAAATGGCCGTATTTTTTTTAATATTCTTGTTGTGGTTCTTTGCAATTTAATTTAATTTGTGTTTCATGCTGATAATGTTGTTGATTGTAAGTGAATCATCATCATCATCATCATCATCATCATCGTCGTCATTGTTATGGCCAATTTTCAAGATTGCAAAAATTATAATTGAACCAACAGCAAATGAAAAACTTGTTTATTGGAACGTTATTTGTGAATTATGAATGAATTTTTTTTTACTTTTCGATTAAAATGAAATTTGATACATGTAGATAGATAGAATTGATCGTGGATCAGAATCGATTCTTTTTTTTAATATTCTGTCAATTGTTGTTGACCACATAAATACACCAGTGAAAAAGTGGAAAAAGTTTTTTTTTCTCTGGTTTAAAACTTATTTTGAAATAAAAAGATCACAACAAGGACGAGTTCAAGTTGATTCTAGAGAATTTTTTGTATTTTTGGTCCCAGTGTGTGTGTGTGTGTGTTTCACCACCAAAACAACGCGTTTCATTTGAAATAGTTCCAACCGACCAACAGACTGATGATGATGATGATGATGATGATGATGATAATTTCAAAATATCACATGTGTACCATTTTTGCTGTTTTAACAACAATAACAGAGTATAAAAATGAAAAAAGTTTTTTTTTCTCAAACAACAAAACACACGCACACACAGAGAGATGGAGAAAAAATTGTGAATAAAAATATAAAACTTGCGCGTGCATTTTATATGCGATGTGAGTGATGATGATGGTCAACACCCTGAACATACACTACACACATGCACAAACCAATAAAACAAACGGTATTTTACAGTCGGTATTGGACTTGCATGCAAATAACAACCAGAAGAGAAGAGAAAAAGCACGCGTAATTTATGATTTCGTTTTTTTGGTTCCAACAACAACAACAAAAAATTGTGTGAACATATGGTAGTTCCTGGTAGTTTGTCTAGTACACACACACACAAATACACGGTGAAAATCAACAGAAAATCTGGTCATAATAATCATCATCATCATTAAGAATTGTCGTCAAATAATAAATTAACAAAAAAAACAACACATACACATACACACACACAGGAAAAAGGTGTAACTATCATCCATGAACAAACACACAAAATATTAACCATTTTTTTTACAGCACAAAATGACACTATATATATTGTGTATTGTGATTGAACAAAAAAAAAAAAAAATTTGGTAACAATTTAAATGGAAATGGAAATGAAAATATAACAAATAATGACTGACTGACTGACTGAGTGAGACAAACGAAATTGTTTTCCAGAACCTTGAGGCTCATAAATAACCCTGTCGTCGTCGTCGTCGTCGTCGTTGTTGTTGTCGTTTGGTTTTCGATTCAAATATTATTTCTTCATTTATAAATGGCAAAGATTGAAAAATTGGAATTTTTTTTTGGATGGATGGATGGGAATTTTTTTTTTTGGTTGACGATAAACTAAACAAGCCAGACGGCTAAAAAATGATGATGATGATGAAGAATGAAGAAGAAAAAAAACGTTTTGGCCTTTCCGTTTCATTTGATTGGCCATTGTGTGTGTGTGCGTTATTATTATTATTATTGTCAAGCATAAATTATTCGAATATTCATTTTCACTTTTCAATTTTCATTATATTACATACATAGAACACAAAACAAACATTAAAAAAAAACAGTGACCACAACAACGGGTACCACATTACGGGCTGAACTACAGCCAAAAAAAAAAAAGTAATAAATACCCGAACGCGATACCCGAGATGGCCAAAAATATTAGCTTTCATGTAGTGGAACAAAAACAAAACAAAAATCAGCCGACACCACCACAACAACGGACAAACAATGACCAGTGAAACAAAACGAAATGATCATCATCATCATCATCTGATGTGATAAAGATGATGATGATGATGATGATGTGAATTTTAATTTTTCATTGAAAAATAAAAATTTTAAAATTCTAAAATTCTACACTTATAAATAATGATGATGATGTTTTTCTCACTATTTTTTTTTCCTCAAAGTGGGCTACTTTTTTTTCTTACTTTCTTTGTTTCATTGTTATTTAATTCCCATTTGAGGATTCTCACAACTACAGTTTTTTTTCTGCACGAAGAAAAAAAATGATGCCATTCTATGTGGAATGCAAAAAAAAAATTCCCAAGACGAATAAATCAGGTTATTATTATTATGAATGCCCAAGAAAAAAAAAGATGGTTTCCGATCCTGATGATGATGATGTTTTGCCGGGTTTTGTTTTATTCATAGTTGAAATCGATCGATCAATATATAAATATTTGTCTGGGTTTCAAAACATTTTTGGGGTTGATTTGAAAGACAAAACAAAAAGATGACGATGAAGAAAATGAAAAAATATCTTTCCACCACGATAAACACTCACATCATACAGTGGAATTATTGTCGAGTTGAAAAAAAAATCACCCTCATCATCATCATCATCATCCGGACAAAATTCTCGCCAACTTTTTTTTTATTGCAAACTTCCAAGTGAAAAAAAAAAAATTCTGCAGAATTCAGAATTCTGTTGCTGGCCAAAAATTATTTATTGATTATTTACTTTTTTTTCCACAACAAATGACCATTTTTGTGTGTTTGTTTTTGTTGCGTGCAATTCATATATGAAAAAAAAACTTTCATCATAACATCATCATCATCAGAAGTAATTTGATGATCTGAAAAAAAAAATATTCAAGGAAAGAAAAAAGATGATGATGATGATGATATGATTTCCATTTTGTGATATTGATAATAAAAATAACAACAACAACAACAGAAACAACAACAACAACAACAACAACGACGAAGAAAAAGAAAATGTTCAATTCGTGACTTGACTGTAATATATATTTGACACTATTTGTGTGTTTTTTTCTAATACAAAAAATTTTCAATATTTGAATTTATCTATGTGTGATATCTCGAGCATGGATCTGGGTGGTAGGCGTATAACAGGAATAAAAAAACTTTTGATTAAAAAAAACAACAACAAAAATATTTGTTATTGGAAAAAAAAAAAAAAAAAAAACCAAAATAGATATTCTGCATTCTTAAACACGGAATTGGAAATTTGACACACACACACAAAGAAACTTTCCCATAAGAAAAAAAACTTTTCAAAATTTCAACATTCGGACACACATATATATGTGATGTCAATAGCCAATTGATTCGATTCAATTTGAGAAAATTTTTTAAACAAAAAAAAATTCTGTCGTTGCGTTTATGTATCAGAAATTCAATTCAATGATCATCAACATCAATCCAAA